CTGCAAGTTCATCTGTAATTTCGTCTGTAACTTCCTCTTCTTCGATGTCTGCGTCTTGTATCGCGATATTGTCGCTCGAGCGATCTTTTGGTGTGACGCATTCCAATATGGACTGTCGCAACTCCTCACTCTCAAGCACCAAAGCCAGCTGTCCGCTTGCGTCCTGCTCGAATTTTGCGCCCCCGCAACACGTGTGGCATAATCTTCCGTAGGGTCTGCTGAAGAGTAATCCATTACCAATGGTAGTCCAGCTTCTTTCAAGGCGTAGGTCTCCACCAAGGCGCGATGAACTGCGAGGATTGTATCATTTCGACCCTCTGTTCTCTTGGGACGAATGAAACTAGATCATGGGAATTAGTAAACGTTGCAATGCTTGCAGTAGAGTTGACTAAACCCTTTAAATGGGTTCGCCACCTCCCATTGCCTTGTCCCCCAACCAGGCCCACCCACCATCTCTAGGCCTTCAGCTGTATCCGCTTCGAAATATTCATCTTCATCTTCGGGCTGTTCCACCTCCTGCTCAGGTGCCGGTTCAAGCTCCCTGCCCTTTTCCCTCGCTTGCTCCTTCTCCCTTCTTCTCTGATCAGAAACACTCTCTTTCCCGTACGGATCGTCCTGACCTGGCGGTGTCTCTGAGCCCCATATCTTTTTCGTAACTTTTCAGTGGTGAGCCAGCTGGCGTGTCTGCTGGAAGCGTAGGGTAGGGTGGTTGATGAGTTAGTCTTTCTTACAGCGGTTGATGCTCGGAGCCGACAGTGTAGGCAGACGTAACTTGACTGAGGTAATGCAAGACGGGCTGCAAGGCTAATGCGGCCGGCAGAAGTCATACTGATGGTGTTAATGTTGACTCAATCGGTAACGGTTGAAGACTGTTGAGAGGTTGCAAGCAAAGCCAAGGAGTTCTACATGGCGCTAGGCTGAATACGTTTAGCGCAAATTTGTTTCAAATCGAGATGACAGTGCTGCATTTGCGCACATATATGGGACATCTGTCTCAGTGATACCTATGCTATTCTTGCTCGGGCAATCCTTTCCTACTGCTGATGGAGTATCACGCTTGCTCAGCCATCATGTCATCAAAAGAATCATCCGTGCTCTCCGCCGCTCAAATAGTCTTCTCTCCCAATGGCTGCACACCTGAAGTGTCCGCTACAACATCAGCCGGTCCGGTAGCAGTCTTCTCCCCATGGATCCCCGCCTTCGAACACCCACTGCACGCGCACTTGCCCTCGGCACAAGGGCATGTGCCAGTATCGCCTCCACACTGACAAGTCGTCTTCTCAGTCCCAGGAACATGCTCCATTGTCTTCTCGTTCTGCTCCATACTACCACCGCCCTTTCCACTCTTCAAATCCGCCAAGCGCCGTGCCTCGGCGTGGATGTCTCGAACCTGCTTGTCACTCTGCGTGTAGAAGCTTGCCAGTTTCTGACCAGTAGGCGTGCCCATCGCTTTCTCGAAGTATGAGTTGATGCCCTCCATCCCGCAGTCGCTTTATCAGTGATGCCGTAGCTCTGGTCAAGACCCTTGGCGCGATCAGTCGCCTTGTATTTTGCGTCGAATTGTGTAAGAGCGTTGGTGAAGCGATTGGAGACACCGTGCTTGTTGTCGAGGGCAATGGCACGTTGGATCGCGGTATCGCTGATCACGTAGCCGTGGGCGAGGTATTCGGCAACGATGCGCGAGCGCGGCTTGTCCTCTTGCGAAATGTCGTGCTCGTCGCGGGAGGCATCTTCGGTGTTAGTGCCGGCTAGCTCACTGATGCCGGCGGCGCTTGAGACTTGGACTTGGGAGCTGCCGAGTTGGGTATTGTCGAGGAGAAGCGCTGTCTTTGCGGCTCTAGGGAAAGATCAGCTAGGGGAAGCAGCTGGCTTGACTCTACATGTATCTTTACGTCTCTTTCTCGAAGGTGACTGTTGCACTCTGCGGGCTGTTTTCGGCTTCGGACGCAGGGGTCACAGAGAGGGATGTGATCTTTCCGCTGCTAGCTGTCAGCATGTGGCAAGCTTGTGATAGAGACGTTTAGCTCACCAAAAGCTGAAGAAGTCTCTCACTTCTTTCTCGCTCGTGTTGTGGGCAATGTTCTTGACCTAGATCCAGCAAGTTAGCGCCTAGAGCTCCCAGAGCAATCGGAAAGTGCGTACATGGACGACAGTGGACGACATGATATGTTTGTGATTTGCTTGTTAAGTAGGTTTGAAGATACGAGTGTATAATTTGAAAGAGTTGAGAGGAGTTTGGGGCAGAAGAAGTGGGTTTTGGGGAGAATGGAATGTTGCAGAAGTGGACGTTGCCCCACATCATTTTGCTGGGCCGGGGCAGTGGCAAAGGGTCCAAGGGTGGTTCTGACAGGACAACGATACTCCACAGAGGACAGGCATATCACATCTTTGGGAGCTCTTGATCAAATCAACAAGATGCTGGACCTTCGAACCATCATCCTTTACGACGGCTGGTCAATCACTAGCATTAATCCCCTCCCTCTTCTGCATCCCCAATACCCCCGTCCCAAAAAACCGTTCCGATCCCGTCTTCCCAACATCAAAATCCATATCCACATATTCATACCTTTCCACGAAATCTGCAATGCCCTGCAACGCCATCCCCCACACCTTCCACGTCATTCTACCGCTGTGATGCAACAGTATAAACACGTTACCCGACCCGTATCGGATCATTCTGTCGGGTATAGGTTCGTTCGAGCTCCCATGCGCTGCGACTTCGCGAGTCGCTTTGACGAAAACATAGATTACGTCTCTCCGGCCTAGGGGGGTGCCGTAGCCGTAGAAGCGGACGGTTTCGTCAGAGTTGGGGACGGGGTAGAGCAAGGGATCTTGGGGAAGGCGGCTACTGATGTCATCATCTTTGCCCGGCGTTTCCTGGCTTGTTGTCTTGACGAACAAAGGACGACCTACTTTGAAGAAAAGAGCTGTGTTAGACTTGATGGAGCCGTGAGGTTGACGTTGATGTTGAGACCGTTGAGTAATGATAGAGTCAGTGGACTGAGAGGTGGTTCTGCAAGAGTAACTGTACAGAAATGGACGACGATCCAAGCTGCATAGAGGAATCCCATCTCAAGAGACAATGATTGGGAACAAGGGAGAAGTTGAACGACGAACGTGTAGTTTGGCGCCTCCTTTGTCGCGCCCAATTTCGCATAGATGAGAGCATGTCGCCTACGAGTATGTGTTGCCACGCGCATTGAGAAACTTCTTCCCGCTGTCGTTGATGTTGTGACATTTACCCAATAATACAAGGCCTTCTAGCTGCATCCTTTGCGCCCTCTTATATGTCACTTTTTACAGGTACAGCCCAGGTTTCTTGCATCCATGCCATATTGTTGCTCTTTTATCTCATGTTGAGGTCTGGGATCGTTCCTGTACCACAGCTGCATCATTAAGTTCTGCGTATTCGACTTGCTGGCCTGCCTTGTCGAAGTCGGAATTGCCCCGAGAAGCGGCTGTAAGCTTGAAGGCAGGTAGTCCCTCGCCAAGTATGGGGGGTTGAAATGGTCCCGTTGATTGCGAGCCAGACCCATCGTGTATCTCTGTTGAGGTTCCTTCCTCTTGGTCGACCCTATCAGTCATACTGCTGGAGCTTTCTCCTCTCGGCCGACCATACGCCTGGCCAGGATTTTCCTCATGCATGATATCCTTTGATTTTTCTTCTCCAACCATTGCAGCGAGGCTACGAAAGTTGAACATGGGCTCCATGCCTGCTCCACCACCAGGAGGCGTGCCTGAGATGTAAGTGTCTTGGGCCGAAGCCGCTGAAGGTATATTGACACCACTTGCGCTGGGTGAAACATCAAATGAGGATCCTTGTCCCTTGATGTCACTCTTCAAGGACCCAGGAGCAGAACCATCAATAGATGAGGTTGAGGATGAGGCATTTGAGAGAGTCCGTAGATGCGATGGTCGGTATGGTGATGAAGAGTAAGGAGAGGAGAAAGGTGGAGCATCGCTGGGAAGTATCTGCGCCCGAGCGCGCTCAAGATGTTCCTGAGGATCTGCCGCCGTGGACGAAGACATAGCATTCATAGCTCGTGCATTTGGTTGCTCAGACTCTGTCTGCTGGACGCCCTTTCCTTTTGCAGAGTACGGGGAGGACTCCGTCCCACCAACGAAAACCTCGCTGGAACTGCCTCCAAGCCCTGCAGCGCTCGCATTGGCGCTGCTCGGATACACACCCGTCTTTCTGGCCTTCTTTTCGGCCTTCTTGTCTTCCTTATCCTTCTTTTTGGCCTTCTTTTGGGCATCTTTGTCTTCCCTTTTCCGTCTATCCTCCTCTGACGCAAGACTCAGCCGTATAGCTTCCATCATCATCATTTCTTCCAAATCTTCCATTCTGTTTCTTCTGGAGCTTCCACGAGGCCCGGGCGTCATTGACGGTTCGCCTTCATCGTCTCTGGCAGCACCTGATGCTGCATAGCGCTCAGACATCAGTGCCAACATATTCAAGTGCGCAGAGCTGGTCCCAGGATTGTCCGCGCCACTGGTCCGTCGCAGGATGCCACGCCTGCCAAAAGGACCCGGAGCTCGACCATCATTTTCTTGACCACGATTGCCCATCAAATAAGCAGCAGTATGTAGAGCTGTGGCAGCTGCAGATCGCCGAGCCGTATGAGCTCTAGCCGCAGCCAGCTTCTGATGCCAGTCTGGGCGTACCCTATCGGTTGTGATGACGGAGGGAGAGGTAGCGGAGACTGATGTCGTTCTCCGACGTGTAGCGTTCGTTGGCGACATACGTCCTCCGTTACTCAAGACTGAACCCAGTGAAGATTCGGAGGACATGGCGGAAGATCTGTTGGCCAAAGGATGGTTTGACGCTTGATTGACGTACGACAGTCCTCTACGGAAAGGCGGCGAAAGGTAGGTGACACCAAATTCAGGCTGAACGCAGAATGGACAAGCAGCTGGTTCAGATATCAATTCCTCGGGATTGACCACTTCTGCATTGGCATTTTCAGCTAGCGTGGGTTGCGGAGCCGTCGGATCTGCGTGTTCTGGAGGATGGGGATCTGGGCGTTTGATCTGTACGAAGCATTCGGAGCAAATGGCCTGATCGCAGCATCGAGTCTTGTTCAGGTACGGAGGATAATATAGAAAGCAGATTGGGCATTCAGAAGCGTCTTTATACATGTACGCTTCGAGAGGCTGACCAGCAACGTAGGGATCTCTTGGCAGGTTTATTTCACGAGGCGTCATATCGGCTTGAGAGTTCTTCGGGGCGGTCGTGAGAGCCGCCAATGTTTTCGCACGGCCTCTGAACAATGTAGATCCGGAAGATGGCGAAGGTTGAGGCGCGTTCAAAACTCCCGGCGAAAATGAGGGTTGGGATGGTGAAAGGTTCGAGGACGTGTCTGAGTTGAGTGACTGAGATCTCGAAGTTATTGGCACAGTCAAATTATTAATGTTCGTGTCCGACGACTTTGTTTCCGATTCAGCCTTGGACATCGGCTTAGGCTCTTCTTCAACTGGTATTTCATCCGGGGCAGGGATGGGTCGTCCTCTGGCAGCAGCAACGAGCTGATTCTCTGTCCATGAGTCAGAGTGATCATTCAAACCCCTCCAAAATGGTGCTATTCGTCGTTCAATCTGATCTCCATTAGCACTCATGCCCCTTGGAATCCACTGAGTACCCTACCATCAGTTGCCGTACGACACCCTTAGTGTAGTCCTCTATTCCTGTGTAGACACCCTGGGTGACAAGATAGCCTCCATCAACACTCTCTTCACGCATGCTCCGTTCACGCTCCTTCTCCCTCGCCACCCTCTCTTTCTCCAACTTTCTTGCCTCCCTCTCTTGCTTGGTCTCTCTGCGAGTCTCCAGACTGGAAGTGTCAGAGACTGCATTGCCTCTCATTCCAAGCAATGTTGACAGGTCAGGTCGACTGCCCCTACCCGTCCGCACATTGTAAACCGGATGTGAAGGGCGGTCTAAAGAGGGCGGATAAGATGGTGAGCTTGGGCCAGAGCCGGCGGGAGAGGAGACTGATCGGGCATCAGCTGACCGTTGGCGTGCAAGATGAGGCCTTTGCTCTTTGGTAGCCGAATTGCCCATGTTTAATCGTCTGCTGCCCCAGCTGGTTGAGAGTCGTTGTGAGAGGCCGGAGAAGCCTCTGATTGTGGACAGCTGTTCCGGATATCAAGTTGATATGGCCGCCTTCCAAGTACAGCCACAATGATCATTGATGTCGAAATGATTCAAAGTGCTCTATGCACTGCATTGTCGTTGAGGGCAATAGCAATGAGGAGTCAGCATGCTTTGACCAGGGTCTGCAACGGCAGGGTGTATTCGGTATGACGAAAGATAAGAAGTTCTATAGCGCGTGATGTCTTGATGGAATGAGGGGCTGATTGAGGATATGTTTGCAGCGATACGATGCAATACTACGGTGTTTGGCGGAGATGGTATGGTGTTGTTGAAGTCAAGCTTCACGGAAAGCATGGCATCATCCTGCCTCCTCCGCTGACCAAATCCACGCACTGCAACGCAACCAATTGCTGCACCATGTTCAAATGTCGATCGCAGAGTGAATACTTCGAAGACACATATCTCCACCAAGAAGACACAATTCTCTTATCGATAGATATCAATCACCCCACTTCAAATCACTCCATCGTACTGCAGCATTAGACTCAAGACGCGTGCTACTGCTTCCTAGTGAGTCTACGAGTGTACCCATGGCCCCTTAAGTTGGCGCTTCCAGAAACGGAACAAACATCCACATATATCTCAATACCTAGGGAATATGGCTCCCGATCTTAACTCTCTGCCTCCTTCACCCTACAGCCCTCGAAGTATAGCCTCTACATCCTCTCGACGGGCTAGAGAGACCATGGCACCTCCCCCCGCTCCCATTTCACCTCCTGCCCAGTCACCCACCATTCTGTCAAGGGAGCCTCTCGCAAACATGACTTCTGGAGACAACACTGGAGTAGGCATTGGACCCGGTATAAAAGCAGATGTCCTACAACTCCGCTTACAACTGATCGACCAGCTAACTCGATGATTACCAGGGCCTCTTCGTCATCCCAGACCTCTCACCGCTGCAGACCTTCATATGCAACTTGAGAAGGAACAAGAGGCAGTGGTAAGCTGGGGATGGTTTACTGGTTGGAATAACTTCGCTGATTATGAGTCTTTCATTTCAGGTCAACCGCCTCACGCGCGAACTCTCTCTTCTACGCCAGCAGTCTGCTTCAGTGGCATCGACGACCTCCTCCGTTTCTACTGGCCTACCAGATGCTACAGATCAGAACGCAAACCATCTAATTTCTGGGCCCAGTCACCCTACTCCCTCACGGCGGCATCGATCGTCCTCCAATCTGAGCGCTCGAAGTTCAAACACAGCTGCGACTACAGCTACTGGCATTACTGGGACAAGTGGAAGCACCGTTGGCACGACAGCAGGGGTAGCCGGAAGCACAGTATCAGGCATCGCACCCGCGCGAGATGCCACAGCCCCATACTCATATGCTCGAGAACCTCTTAGCAGGCAAAGCTCAGTCGCGTCGCGGCGATCCGAAGCCTCCTCGCCTTCTTTGTCTTCCTCACTATACCAAGGCGATCACTTCCCCAACCTCCATGCACATCGACACTCTGGCTCAGCATCGTATAATCAAACTTCATCCTCGTCTCAGCAAACCATGAATCAAGGAAATACACGCGTACCGTCGACGCAACGGTACGAAGAAGCCGCTCATCATCGAACAGAGCTCGACATAGTGAAGCGTGAGAACGAAGCTTTGCGAAGGCGCATACAGGAATTAGAAAGGAGCCTTAGCGGTCGTCGACAATCAGGAACTGGCGTAACAAGGAGTGGATCTGTGAGCACGAATGCCAGCATCCCACCAACAGCTGGTGCAGGAGGACGCGGCAGAGGCATTGAGGAAGATGAGGATGCCGTCCATGTGGGCGAGAGCGCTGGTAGCGTAGGATTTGGAGGCGGTCATTGAACGCAATGCTTGCAACGGGCGTTATGGAGGGCAATACCTGGTGAAAGCTTGACAGAGGATCGGAACAGCGCTGGCGCACGGCGATTGGACAAGAGTCCGGATCGTACTGGTCTTCATCTCCATGACCTTGCCAGATTCCTTCTTTGCATCTTGCACTCTAGGTCCAAGTACCCATGCGCCTGTGGCTCCAGGTAACCCCGAGTGTACTATAAGCTAAAGAGAATCGATGCAAGAATCCATCCCTTCCAGTAAAACAGACCTCGTCAAGCCTTTCCGTGACGCCATCGTCTTCGACGCTGTTATCCGTTCCTGCATCGTGGCACTCGTGTGAACCATCACCCCCTCGATCAAAGCCCCCACGTCTCCACCTCCACACCTCCACCTTCACTACCCCCGTGAGCATATGCGGCCATCGGATCACTCGTAGGTCGATGGAATCTCAAGATGGAACTTTGTTGTTGATCCCTTGAACCCAGCCGAGTCGGAATGTATCAATCAATCGCGTCTCGAGCCAAGGAAGCGTCGGATTCGGAAAGGCGACGGGGTTGGCGCTGTCTGGGATTTGGGGAAGGGGAGCGTCAGTGGACATGGCTAGGCTGCTCGCTTCCGTGACTCTCTCTCCTGTAGGGAATGAGCAGTTGGAGCGTGGTGTGCACGGCGAAAGCCAATGCCGGGTCGCAACTTCCATTTTTTTGGCGGAGAGGAGAAAACTTCTTTTTGTCGGAATGCGGCATAGAGCTTATATGGAACTACAGGTTTTGAGGGACGGAGTTGCATTGCGTTTTTCTTTTTTTCTTGGTTTGGGGGGGGAGGGAGGGTGGGCTTTGGCGAAGTACATCGAGCGTAGCAGACACTCTGCGGGGCAAGACAAAACTCACCGAACAAGAGCCTCGTCCTTTCATCCGTCAGAGTCAGCAGTTCCGGTATCTAACACAGCATTGGTCTGGATACGATGATGTGCTTCAGATTGGATTTTTCATGCAGCGTGTTGATGTGATGGCATTGAACGAAACAAGAAGAAAGGCGAAGATCGAGAGGATTCCTAGGATAGCCACTGTACGAGTACAGCAAGTCGCCTCCATTATCTCCGAGTTTACAGAACCGATAAAGGAAAAGTTTGTCAACCCTATTAATGATAGTGGAAATAACTTGAAATCACAGTGGGGGTAATACGAACTGCATCAGCTTATCAAGAATGCTGACTTCAGGTGACAAGAGAGCAGGCACCGATGTGTCTATTTTTGAGCCGCAAGCAACAGGATCACCATGGTTCTGGATCGAGTGATCGCTGACTCACCTCCGCGCACCACCATGGTATGAGGCTCAAGGAGACCTCATGAGGGACTGGAGGCCGAACCCATTTACTCTCACCATGCGCAGGCGAGTGGCTGCGTTGCCAAAGATTGAGGCATGTCCGAGTGGGAAAGGAGAGCAGTCAAAAATAGATCAGGGACAAGACAAATTTAGATATAAAGAAAACGAGGAAGTGTGAGAGAAGAAACGATCAGCTCATTGGCCTCGTGGCGGCGTGAATCAGCATTCTGCAGGTGGTGCTCGCCGTGTACCTGCGTCCCCTTGGATTGCAAACTCTCCGCATTTTTCCATCGTGGGGGACCAACGCCGCGTACCTGCGTCTGTTCTGAGGGATGTAGCGATACTTGTACCTGATTTACCAGACCCGCGAAATCTGATGTGTTTCATGAGGGTTTGAAAAGGTCGGTGGACGACTGGATATGCGGATCTGCCTCGACTCGGATTGCAGGTTCTGTGACTCAATGTCGGACGAGGCTGTGATGATTGGATCCCGCGGAGTTGATGACAGTGGATAGGAGGAGGGTTGGCGAATCATGGTAATATATCTGGTGTTGTTGACGCGCGCACATTTGATGATCTTGCTCAGTTTCTCACTTTTGTTTTCTTAGGCGAGAATGTGAAACACGTCGATCGGAGCATGGTCAGAAGGTGGCTCCAGCGTGAGAATTGTGCAGATCATTTCATTACTCGTATTATTGTCCGGCCAAGGAGAAGGGCGGAAGAGGTCCGAAAAGCAGGGAAGAATCCGCAGGGATTTCAGTTGAAACAAGCAGACATTTTGTTTCACACTTATCTTCATTCAGTAACTACTTCCTTTGTAACAGACTATAGTAGGTATACTTTACTTTATCACTAAGTGAAAGACCAAAAAGTTGGCCCTTGGTGGCATGGTGCCTTCTTTTTGGAATCCCGGCGCTTGTCGATCTTACCGGCTGTTTCGGCGGAGAGAAAAAAAGGGAAAAGTGCGGAGGAAGTTAAAAGTGAGTAGGAAGTTTAAAGTAAGTAAAGTAAATGGAGCCAAGGCTGAGATTTCTGTAGCCAAGCTTCTGCTTCTTCTGACCTTCTTAACTTCTTTCTACTTTACCGACTTCGCTCTCGTTACCCGTTGCGGGAGGAGATCACCGTCATCTTCCACGCTAATTCTGCATCATCCATGCCGCCTTCATCATTCCCATGCATTGTAAGCAACGCCTTACCCACCTTGGCCTATCGGAGTTCGATAAGCAGCGCCCTATGATCATGATGATGTTATCAGCCCCCACTAGCGGCACTTAGCCAAGCCTCAGTTGCCCCTCCATTCGCTCCAGGTACGAATGACGCTCGGAAGATCCTTTCCTCTCTCACCGCAGCAGAAATCTGATACAGGACGGCGCCCTTTTTTCCTTTTTCCCTCTTCCCTTTTTCCCTTTTTCTTACAACGTGCTTCAGATATTCTCAAACGTAGTGTGGCCTGAAAAAAAGGATCATCGGTAGACTCGGCTCATTCCTCGCCGGAGACAACGTGGCAATCCCTGCGCCATGTGCTCCAGAAGATGCATGAATTTGAAGATCTTATTATTATGAAGATCTCACGTGGGAACATGTACACCCGACACCACACTTACCCACTCATTCTACTCACTCACTCACTCACTCATCATCTCTTCCCACTCTCTTTTTCTCTTCTCTTCTACCTACTTTCCCTCTTCTTCTCTGATGCACATCCCCACACTCACTGCGTTCTGTTTCATCTTTTCTTCAAAACATCGCTCAAGTCAAGCATGTTCCACAATTGTTTTATACCATGTCGGACACCCCGCTGAGCTGAAAAGGACGTCAATACCCTTCAGACTCCTCCCCATTTTCTTCATCGTACTTCTCCTTCTGCTTTTCTCATCTGACTTTCATTCATATATTCCATTGCTGCTGTCGCTTTGCGCATATTCTGTCTCTACTACAACTCCTATATTACAAGCAATCATGAACGGCTACGACCACATGGTCATGTCTTACCTTCCGCCTAACAATAATACCACTACCGACGATTACCTGACCACGCTACCCGCAATGGGCCTCGCAGAGCAGAGCTTTCAAACGCCCACCTATTCCACCGATGATTTCCGAGGGTATGAGTCCCATCCAGAACGTTGCACAGACCATCATTCTAATCAATCTCATCATTTCCAGCATCCATTCCATATCCCAAATGCCTCCTCTTCTCAGCTCTAGCGAAGCCGACCGCGCCTTCAATCCCACCTACCCAGACTTCCGCTATGACTCGACTGCACATCAAGAGACACATGAGCAATCCGCACCAGAGAGCGCATCAATTGATCGGGATGATGAGCTGCTCAGCTTCCAACCAATCACCTACCATTTCTCACTGCTCGATCACTCCCTCCGAAGGATATCCCTATCCCTCAATGCACGTTTACACGGCATGTTTTTCATGGCGGATCCCCCAAACGCCCCGGGTCTCTTTCCTCAGATGACTCCTCCAGAACTCACGTGCTACCGCCGCAACCTATTCCAAGTCACGGGATCTATCACTCTTCCTCGCGGTTTGCGCTACATCTTGACGGAACGCAACGAGCGCATACCAATAGTGGCACAGGAACTCACCATTTCGGCAACAGAGTCAGTCGAGGGCGGTACCGTGAAGCTGATCTCGGTCCCGTGGAAAACACCAATCAACAGTCCACCCGTCCCACCCGAGGAAAAGACAGAGAAGGAGCCCACAGTCATACCACTCGACCTCATGTCAACTCACGATCCGGACGTGGAGTTCGCAACATACCCCTTTGCGTGGAAGCGACTTCAATTCCGGATAGCCACAGCCAACAATGGGCGTCGGAAGGAACTCCAGCAACACTTCGTGGCTCGCTTGAAGCTCGTGGCCACCTTATCGTCAGGTGAAAGAGTCGTTATCGCCGAAGCAAGATCCGCAGCCATAATTGTCCGTGGTCGCAGTCCGAGAAATTTTCAGCAACGGAAGGACCTCCCTGTCGGCGAGAGAGCCACGGGCCGCAAGGCCACGAGCCTTCCCACCAACGTCGCTCGAAGGACTGGCTCAGACCCCCCAAAGCCTACTTCCACTCTGAAAAGAGAACGGAGCTTGGATAACCCTTTCGCGTCCTTCGATTTCAATAACATCCCCACCGCCGAATTGAATTCATATGGCGGTTGGACGAGACCAAGCGGCGGCTCCAATAGCGCACCAGCATTCCCTACACCTACCTTCAAAACGCCCACTCTTCCGAGCTCGAAATCGCCATCTTCAGCTTCCCCACCACTGAAGACTCACCGAATCTCCCACCCTCACCCCGATGAACCGGACCCGAAGCGCGTCCGTCAAGGTCCCTCCAAGTCTCCACGCATGTCCACCTCCACGCAGCCCAGCCCTCAGCCGCCTTACAAATTCTCCTCCGTCCCACCGTCTCTACCATCGACCCGGCAGCTATCTTCCACACACTCGCCCCCCACCACTACACTACCTGAGACCGTCCACTCGGGCGACTGCTGCTGCAGTTACTTCCCAGCTGCCACGCAGTCTTGGCAACCACCTTTTACGACTGCCTCTATGAACCCGATGTACAGCACGCCTTATCTGCCGCACAACAATTCCATGACAGCAAGTGCTATGGGCATCGCAAGTGTGCCTGGTGGAGGAGCGAATATACTACCTAATGCGGTAACGAAATGAAGAAAAAAAAAGCGACGCGGCATTCTCGGCGTTTGAGCGAGAGCGGGAACGGGAGCAGGGGATCGAAATTGTACGATTATGTCCTTTGATATGCTTCTTTTCTTTTCTTTTCTTTACTTAGTACTTGTGATTTCATTGGCGGGATCATTATACCCTTTTTGGCGCTGGTCATGTCTACGCATTGCACAAATCATGTATTACTATCTGGACCACAGGACCACTTTAAAGATTTGGGGGTTAGATGGATGGGATCGGGCCTGGTACACATTCTCGAGGGGATCTGATATTCGCGTGACGAGTTTGCTTATACTTTACTTTACGGCGGCTTTTCTTTATCGGTCCGCAATGTGGCGGGGCGCTTTGAGCGATTTCCGGAGCGTGTGCACTGCTTCGGTTCACGGCTGGGGACATGGCGAGGTGGTGTGTGAGTGCAGCCTTTTAGTATGCATCGAAGTGAATGGAATGGAAATGAGGTTGAAGACTATGAGTTGCGCACCTTTGAGTGACTTTTTGAACAATGTTGGTGGAGGTGTTGATAACAATATGTACAATTCGATCGGTCTTGGGGGCATTTCCAATTGTGAAAGGAAGTTGCCAATTTCCCATCTTTGCATTTTCTTTCCTTGAGATCGCGCACAGGCGCAGAGATTTCTTGCGACACATTTACACGGCGCACACATTCCATCCAACCGACCCATTTCCGGCCTCTCCGCACCCCCCCCCCCCTCGACTTTCTTCCCCCTCACAATCTCGCCCTCGCACCCTTCCACCCCGCCTCCTCCGCCACCATCTCCGCGCACCGCTCCCCAATCGCCAGCACCGTCAGCATCGGGTTCACGCTCGTCATGGCGGGGAACACCCCCGCGTCCGCGACGCGCACCCCCCCGAGCCCGCGCAGCCGCAGCCCGCAGTCCACGACGGCCATGGCGTCGCGGGCCACGTCGCCCATCTTGGTCGTCCCGGCCGGGTGGTAGACGGTGTGGGCGGCCGAGCGGCCGTAGGCGCCGAGGTCGGCGTCGCTCTGGACGGCGGGGCCCGGGGCCACCTCGCGCGCCAGCCAGGCGGAGAAGGGGGGCTGGGCGGCGACGCGGCGGGCGGCGCGGAGGCCGGCGACCAGGGTGGCCGCGTCGTGGCCGGCCGGGTCGCTGAAGTAGCGGAAGTCGAGGGCGGGCTTGACGCTCGGGTCGGCGGAGGTCAGGTAGAGTTGGCCTTTGGATTCGGGGCGGGGGATGTTGGGCGTCATGCAGAAGGCGTCGATGGGGGTGTCGTAGCCGAGGCGGGCGGTGTTGAGGCAGAAGGGGATCTGGTAGCAGTGCATCATGATGTCCGCGACGCCGGGCGTGTGCCCGGGGCGGGAGAGGAAGATGCCGGCGTCGGAGTCCATGGTCGTTTGGTTCGGGGGCACGGGCCGGTTCAGTTCCCACATGATGATGCTTTCCGGGTGGTCGAGCAGGTTGTGCCCGACGCCGGGGATGGAGGCGACCACGGGGATGTTGAGGGCGGTGAGTTGGGCGGAGGGGCCGATGCCGGAGTGGAGGAGGAGGCGGGGGGTGTCGATTGCGCCGGCGCAGAGGATGGTTTCCTTGCGGGCGGTCAGGGTGAGGGTGGTGCCGGATTGCAGGGTTATGTTGACGCCTGTGACGGTCGAGGAGTGCACGTTGACGCGGCTGACCCAGGCGTCCGTTAGGATGGTGAGGTTGGGTCGGTGCTCGTCGCCGCGGAGGATGGGGTGGATGTAGGCGACGCTCGCGCTGCTCCTGCGGCCGTCGTCGGGGTTGTACGCCACGGAGAAGAAGCCGACGCCGGACTCTAGGTTTCCGTTCCGGGCAATCTCGCGGTTGAAGTCGTGGATTACGGGGATGGAGAGGGCAGTGGAGCAGGACTCGACCCAGTCCTTGCAGAGCTGGTTGCGGTGGCGGGAATGGACGGGTTGCACGGTGTTGCGGATGGAGTCGAGGAGGCGGTTGAAGGTGTCGAAGGACCAGCCTGTGCAGCCGAGAGATTCCCAGATAGCGGCGTCGTGGGCGAAGGGACGGAAGGATATAAGGGTGTTGTGGGAGGAGCAACCGCCGAGGACTTTTGCTCGGGAGTGGCGGATGTGCGAGTTACCTATATTTTGATCGATCAGTGATGCTGTCAATGCTGTTTGTGTTTACTCCCGATTCCGCCTTGAATATAACACAATTCAAGAATGGTTCTTGTTCTTGGATGCACCACGGTAGACGGAATACTTGTACGCATCACCAAAAACACATATCCTCAAGAGCCAAGCTCGCTTACCATTTGGCTGCTCCGTAGTCCCATAGTCATAGTCCAGCTCGCCACCCAGGAGGTTCAGCCAATCTTTCAGGTTTAGAACCTTGTCGTTCATGAAATCGCTCGGACCAGCTTCAATCAGTAGTATTCTCTTCTTCGGTAAATACTCTGCCAATCGGCTAGCGATGACACACCCCGCTGTACCACCGCCTACTATCAGGTAGTCGAAGCTATCGGCCTCTGAGGCGGAGAGCTTGGTGGTGGTCATGATGATGAGGAATTCAAGGCTCGGAAAAGAGTGGAAAACCCAAAGAGATTGTGGTTGCTTTTCTAACCCAACAGGCTCCACGCAGCCTTTTTGTATATCCAAGGAGAGAATCAGTAGACTAGCAAAGAGATAATACAATAAATGTCGCTGTGAGATCTCGCACGTGACAGTGTGTGCTCAGAGAGATAAGAGCAGCTCAAGACAAGAGCATATTACCTTCCATTTGTGTACTTGAAAGGAGACAAAGGATTGTAAGTATGAGATGGATCTAGAGTAAGCAAGGTCAGCAAAGTCGCACAAATGTTTGGATGCCCTAGGGAGACATTATTATTATTGAGTGGGCAGATTTGCTGATACTTGACTAGTCCGAAAGGAGACAAAATATGCGGAGAAAAACTGGTGTTAGCACATGGCAAGCTTGAAGAGAAGAGGTATGTTTCTCATCGAGGGGCCAAGACCTGATACTAAGCGCAAGCCTTGTAGAACCTCCGTGGTTGAAGGTACGTGCATGACATGCTGGGCAAGGACTCAAGGTTCTCCCACCCTCCCTCGTGATTTCGCCATCAATCTCAATCAATGGCGGACTCGTTCTACCCGCCGCGCCATCTCTACTATGACGGCCAGGTCCAGGTAGGTTCTGGAGGTATTTTCAGATCCATCGATCCATCGACCGCACAGCCACTGGCAGATATCCATGCTGCCTCCCACTCCGACATTGACTCAGCCATTCAATCAGGTCAACGAGCTTTTCATGGTTGGTCAACAACGCCCCCAATTGTTCGATCTCGCATCCTCCTGAAGGCAGTCCAGCTTCTACGAGATAGAAACGATGAGATTGCGAGGACAGAGACACAAGACACAGGGAAGCCGTTCTCCGAGACAAGCACAGTTGATGTGGTGACGGGAGCGGATGTGCTCGAGTTCTTCGCCAACCTAGTGGGAGGAGGTGGGCTTAATGGGGAGACGACGCAGTTGAGGGAAGACGCATGGGTCTATACGAAGAAAGAGGCTCTGGGTGTATGCGCGGGCATAGGAGCATGGAATTACCCCATACAAATGTACGCCGCCTCTCTCAGAAGACATGGATACCGAGCTGAGGTCGAGAGTGTCTAGAGCGCTCTGGAAGTCAGCACCTTGTCTTGCCGCGGGCAACACTATGGTCTACAAGCCCAGCGAAGTCACGCCGCTACACGGTCAAATATTGGCCGAGATCTACACGGAAGCAGGACTACCACCGGGGGTCTTCAATGTTGTTCAAGGCGGTGGGGACGTCGGCGCGTATCTTACGTCGCATGTTGGAATCGCCAAGCTGTCTTTCACTGGACAAGTCTCAACAGGCAAAAAGGTTGCTAGCAGCGCAGCAGCAGGAATGAAATACACGACCATGGAGCTTGGTGGGAAGAGCCCAGTCATCATATTATCAGACGTGGATCTAGAACAAGCCGTGAATGGAGCTATGATGGCCAATTTCTTCAGCACTGGCCAGGTCTGCACGAATGGCACAAGGGTATTTATTCCCAAAGACATGAAGCAAGCCTTTGAGGAGATGCTACTGGAAAAGATGAAATACATCCGAGCTGGCAATCTCATGGACGTGAACACTAACTTCGGCCCCCTGGTCTCCGAGCTGCATTACGAAAAAGTCATTGGGTACATTAAGTACGGACTCGAAAAGGATAGAGCGACCTTGCTCTGTGGAGGCCCTGACCAACCGAAAGACATCCCTGGATTGGAAGGTGGCTATTGGGTTAGACCGACAGTGTTCACCGACTGCACAGATTCGATGAGGATTGTGCAGGAGGAGATATTCGGGCCCGTGATGACCCTGTTGACGTACGAGTCCGTGGAAGAAGCCGTTGAAAGAGCGAATGCTACACCTCTCGGTCTTGCCGCAGGCGTCTTTACGAAGGACCTCAACATGGCGCATAAGGTCGTAGCTCAGCTTGAGGCTGGCATCACTTGGGTCAATACCTGGGGCGAAAGTCCTGCCGAGATGAGCGTGGGTGGGTGGAAGCAAAGTGGTGTTGGAGTTGAGAACGGAAAAAGGGGCCTAGAGGCTTGGGTGAGGAATAAGAGTACGCTGGTTGATATGAGTGGGACTGTGCCTACAGTTTTCTCCAAGCTATAAGGGTTGACCCCCCGCCCATGGTCAACCTGTGGTCATGGGAGCTGATTGCATACGAATCCAGTGGGGCTTGCCCTACAGCATTTCTACTATTCGACGGTATGGGCGAGCCGTTGAGATGATTCCTGCTTCTGTGGATCTGATTCCAAGCATACGGGCAGGGATCCTGCCAACCACGTTCTCCAAATCTTGACCTGGTCCTCGGTTGATTTTCCCTTGCGAAAGGCTGATTCCATACTCTAGGAGCTTCTCTTTCCAGGCATAACGCAATGCACTGCCGTCTCACTGCATCTGCCCCTCATCAAATTATCTCGTGACCCCTCCCATCCTTGTGCCAAGGGTTCGCACCGCGGCCGTTTTGTGCAGCGGAGACTATCTCTTCTAGTGCTGACTACTGTCGATCACCGATAGCCCTTGATTTATGCCAATCAGAATACTTGCTCAAGCTTCCTCAAGTCCTCCCAAGCCCCTCACGCGACTACAGTCGCTATCTTATATTCATAACTCCAGCGTCCCTGTGTGGTAAATCGAGGACTATCGCTCTCAACCTCTCGTCTCTTCTGCGTGGTTATTGATCTCTGCTCCTTGCCTCTAAGGTCCTTTTTCTTTCCCGGGAAACGTGCATGTAACGGTCTTGCAGACGAAATATGCACGCAACTTGATCGCTGGAACAAAGCACGTTATATCTATTGAGCTTTCCGCTTCATCATGGCAGATATTCAACCTGAAAAGCAAGATGCTATGGCACAAGAGACTCCTCACGACGACCACAAGACATCTGCTGTGGAGGAAAATGGCTATGCAGACCGTCCAGTAGGATGGAAATACAAGACTTACCGCTTCGCATCTATCAAAATTCCCTGCTATGCATCGCCACCCTTCCAGCTTACCCTCGTGGCATTCGTCTGCTTCATGTGTCCTGGCATGTTCAACGCAGTCAACGGTCTGGGCGGAGGTGGTCAATTCGACGCTCATACGGCCGACAATGCCAACGTTGCTCTGTACTCTACTTTCAGTGTATTCGGCTTCTTTGCTGGAACCATTGCCAACCGTCTAGGTATAAAGTTGACGTTGAGTCTCGGAGGCTTGGGATACGTTCTTTATATAGCTAGCTACCTAAGCTACAATCACAACCAGAATGAGGGATTTGTCGTCTTCGCGGGAGCTATGCTTGGTATTTGTGCTGGAATGCTCTGGGCGGCCCAGGGAGCGATTATGATGTCGTATCCGCCTGAGCAGTCGAAGGGGAGGTACATCTCCTGGTTCTGGATGATTTTTAATCTGGGGGCTGTGATAGGTGGGCTGTGAGTATCTCCCATGTCTATCGAAATATAATATATGGCAATCTCCAACTAACGTTCTCCGATAAGGATACCTCTGGGTCAAAATATCCATTCTTCAGCCGGCAACGTAACCGACGGCACCTACATCGGCTTCCTGGTCTTGACATTCATCGGCGCCTGCCTAGCTTGGACGCTCGTTGATGCCAAAAGCGTAGTCCGCTCTGACGGCTCCCACGTCATCCTTATGAAACACCCAACATGGCAAAGCGAACTCCTCGGCCTTCTAGAAGTACTGAAAACGGACATCTGGATCATCTGCCTTTTCCCAATGTTCCTGGCTAGTAATTGGTTCTATACTTACCAATTCAATGATTTCAATTCTGCCAAGTTCAACATCAGGACGAGATCGCTCAACAGTATCCTGTACTGGACGAGTCAGATTGCCGGAGCTTACATATTCGGGTATGGGCTAGACGTCAAGAGCGTGAGACGAAGTATGAGGGCGAAGGTGGTTTGGGGCGTGCTGTTTGTGATCACGATGGTTATTTGGGGAGGCGGGTATGCTTGGCAGAAAGGGTATACAAGGGCGGAGACGGCGCCAAAGACAGCGCCAAAGATGGATTGGACGAGCAGGGGATATGTGGGTCCGATGTTTTTGTATATGTTTTATGGCTTCTATGATGGTAAGCCTCCTTCATCCGCCCCTCCCCCCTCCCCACGCAAACTTCCACACTTCCCTCTCACCAACACTACCCTAGCTGCGTGGCAAACTTGCGTCTACTGGTTCATGGGCGCCTTGACCAACAACGGCCGCAAACTTGCCAACTACGCCGGCTTCTACAAAGGCATACAGTCCGCTGGTGCAGCCATCATATATCGCATCGATGCGCTCAAGGCTCCGTTTATGAATGAATTTGCGTCAAGTTGGGCGCTGCTCGCGGGGAGTTTGCTCCTTGCTGCGCCGTTGATTTGGACGAAGATACAGGATACGGTGCCGATCGAGGAGGATCTGAAGTTCACGGATGAAACGTATGAGGATGTAAAGCCGATGATTGTTGGGGAAGGGGCGCCGGAGGTGGAGGAGAAAGTGTGAGTGAGAGGGAAGTGCGAGCCGATAGCAACGATCGTATCAGGTAGCAAACTTATAGCAGCAGATTTCAGTACTATTTGCCAAGTGCATGGGACGTAAAGCTGTATTTTTGGAGTAAATGAGAGCCGATATTCCACCTTTATGGTTGGATTGCTAACGTGTTCCTACACTCACAACAGTATGGACCATCACTTAAGATCGTCGCCAACTTCAAGAGCTACGCATTCCATTCATCCTGCCACGAAGGGTACGATGCCCAGGCGCCAAGGCTTTGAGACATTCGCCAACCGCCGCTCTTCTCAATGGTTGCGCTCCCTCTCAACTGCCCCATTCCTTGAACAATTGCCGCTACCGCGTGCTTTCAACCTTCGTACATGATTAATGCTCCACACCTTCTGATGGTCGTAGTCACTCTGGCTTGGTACAGCTCTAGGACAGCTCCCACAAGGCTCCTGCCCTTTCAATTGATGTGACCACAATACTCGCCTCAGATCATGGACAGCTCCTATAACACCCCTTCAATCGCCCATGCTCAACTCCAAAGACACCGCCATGTCCATACAGCATCCAAACTCTCTGGAAAGCTTCCTACAAGAGGTGCAAAGCCAATTCGAGCAACGATTGCGGATCGAAGACCTACTCGCCTTGTCGAAGAAGCTTCAAGCTGAGCTTCAAGAGCAGCTCACCTCCGGCCCGCAGTCACAACGCATGCTGCCTTCTTTAAACTATGAACTACCTACTGGACAAGAGCAAGGAACATTTCTGGCATTAGAGGTTGGTGGCTCAAATCTACGGATGGCGCTGGTGGAGCTTAATGGAAGGGATCTGGGCATGCGGATCCAAAAAACAATGTGCTTTCCCATAGATACGGTCACACGGCAGCTGAAGGAGTATGCTTTCTTTGACTGGATGGCGGAGCGGATTGGGGAATTGCTTGGGGTGGAAGCCAAACCCTCCGGCGATATGGAAGGCAATGGACCTCTACCAATGGGCGTTGCCTGGTCCTTTCCCCTCGAGTCAGTCCAAACCATGAGACCTACAACACAAGTCCGAGACCAAGTCAGCTGATGTCGGAACAGTCAAACATCCATAAGAAGCGGTAATGTGCTGGGCATGGGCAAGGGATTTCATTGTTCCGAGTATCTCGTTGGTCGTGACCTTGGGGAAATCATCACAAAAGCTTCCCAGCGTGCTGTACTTGCCCGTTTACATACCCTCTTCTTGTGGTCTAATGCTGATTTTGTTGTTCTATAGAAGCTCAATGTTCGTCTTGATGCCATAGTCAACGACTCCTCCTCAGCCCTCCTTGCCCGCGCGTACCTTGATCCTGCCACACGCTTAGCTACAATTCTCGGAACCGGCATGAATGCCGCTGTACATTTGCCAATTGCCGCCCTGGATTCGTCCAAGTTCCGATCAAGGGCGCCACCAGTGGGAAATATTACCCACGTCCTGACCAACACTGAGCTCAGCATGTTCGGCAAAGGCATATTTCCTACGACTCGTTGGGACGACATTCTTAATACTGCACACACCCTCCCAGACTACCAGCCGTTCGAATACCTTGTTGCGGGCAAGTACACTGGCGAGATTGTACGGTTGATAATTGTGGAAGCCACACAAACAGCCGGGCTTTTCGATGGACTACTGTCACAATCGTTTGGCAATACTCCTTATGCATTTGACACCAAGGATCTGGCTTTTATCGATATTGACACATCACCTGGGCTTGCAGCCTCGCGCGCTTTGTTCCAGCAACGGCATCCATTCCCTCATATACCAAGCGAGAGGGATATCGTGTTCATCAAAGACGTCGTGAGACGGGTGTCCACCCGCTCGATTGCCTATTTCACGGTCGGAATACATGCGTTAACGGCAATGCTTCAAAAACTAGAGACCATAGACATGGACCATGTCACCATTGGCTGTGATGGCAGCATCATCAATAAATACCCTGGCTACATGGAGAGGGCGCAGGCAATTCTGGATGAAATGGTAACACATGACAGCGTTGCAGGAAAGAAGAGAATAGTTTTGGAGAGCACGATAGACAGTGCCGTGCTTGGAGCCGCAGTTGCGGGGGCTATGGCCGCCAGTGTGGTGAATTCTTGAGGGGCTCGAGGGGTTTGACCATGCGAGCATAACGGTTTCTTGAAGTTATTCATCCTGTAGACAACCCTTGCTTGTGACAAGCTCCTGCCAAATGAGGGGCAGCTTGAAGGAGCAGCATGATCCGTCCCGGCGTTGGACAGTTCTCGTTGCACAAGATCCAAACAAATTTAATGGTTGGATTCGATCAGCATCAGACGCGAAAAATCCCAAGGTTTCAGCTTATTACTTTTCGTGATCCACGGTCCACCGCTGCACCAAGTTCGGGTATGATTGGAGCTATGTGTGGAACATGACGGTGCGGCCATCCTTTCATAACGTCGTGTGATAGGCTTCGTTGCTTCAGGGAAAATTGCCAAGGCCCTTTTGGTTGGTTGGCACGGCTGACTGCATTTTATCCACACATTGAACCACTGGGCCAATCCGAGGATGCTCGCTTGATCCTTCGCCCAAGCAAAGTAGGTGAACCAGACTGATTTCTTCATCGAGGGTTAGGAAAGGGTCAATAATCCTGCTATACTTTGAGTATTGACCGTATCCGAGGTCAGTAGATAGTCCTGAAGGCAAGTCTTCTGAAGAGCCCGTCCGACTCGAGGAGTGACTGACTCGATCAAGGACATGCGCTGCATCTGCCACCAGAATACAAACGCAGCAGATACAGCCAAGTATTACAATTGCTCAACTTTCGGGACTTGCGTCAGCTTGATATATTGGATACCACCGCCGTTTGCCTTACGTCAATCTGTCTCTGTGCGGTCAGCTCCATCTCTGCTCCTTGGCTACCCCTCACGACTTACAAAACGTTGGGGAGTCCCTTCCGTTTTGGCGAAGACTGTTTCTTAAGAGCAACTTTCCCTCCACAAAGCGCTCGATATTGTAAATTCACAGAAAGGTCTTTTTTTGTATACGTAACATTCCCCGAATGTCTTCGAGCGTCAGTTCGCAGCTCTAGTGATCGATTTTATCAAAGTATGTATTGCCACGGATTGTGCTGTGCACGACCATGGAGGATGTTGTGCAGAAGGTCCACGAGACACCGATGGCAAGTCTCCGACCAAATGCTTTTCAAGACCTCGAAAGTCGGCTTTCCGCTGTGCGACAAATCTTGGATGGCAGCCTCAATCTACCGCAAGAAGATCCTGACATGACGAGTTTGTTGGAGGACATGAAAAAAAGATGTGCAACTGTAACACCTGCAGGTTCAGGTATTCTGAGAGTTCAGAAGTGTTCCCACCCACGGACGGAACACTAATTTCATTCAATTCGTGCTGCTTTGAGGCCAAGCTGGGAGTATTTGCTGTGGATGTCTTAAGTCTGAGGTTCTTTGCAACAGGACATCCGGCTCAAAAATTTACCATATTGTCTTTCCCGTACGGCGGATTTCTATTGCCTGGTCAACCAGACTGGTACTTTACAGTCATCGCCGACTTCATTGGAAGATGCTCAAGATGGAAGAGGCTATCTATCCCTGGTTGGCGCCCCATCTTGACAGAGAAGCTGCTAGTCTTAAGCTGAAGCAGCAGATCGGTCATTGAATACGCATTGACATTGGCTGGCCATGATGGCGGGCAGCCCGCTGCATTATCCTCTTCTATTCGTCAAGTTCATTTATCCTGCTATCTTGGAGACAGGTGCCGCCCAGTAGAGTGAGTACCTTCAATTGTGTTGTCTTCGAGGATCCGTTCACTGGCAGGGAATGACCATCGGTGCCCTTGTGTCTAAGGAGACGAGTCGTTACAGACCATGGCAAACATACCGTACCAAAAGGCCAGTACCTTCACAATTAAGCATAGATTACATCCTAATATCAACGCATCGTTATTCTATAGTTTATATGTTATCGTTGAGAGATCAAGAAGAGCCGCCTTCGAAGCTCATATATGCAGAGGGATCAGGCATTGAACCCGGAGACTATCGTACTGTTGAGGTCAGCCCCCGAAATCTACTAGGTGGTATTAGTCAAACAAATTTCACGCTCTCCTGCAGTCATAGAGTTGATTCGCCCGCAGGCAGCTTGACGGAGGCGTTCGTGCCTTTGAGACCAGACAGCGACATTCGGAATTAAGGCCTTGGCGACCGGTGTCTGCTTATCGATCATCATGGCCACCCTTTCAATCAGCTGCTGCAGCTGGCTGGGACGATGAAATACTGCGATCTGCATTAAGACGGATGTATGAACTGCGCGATGGAGCTTGCGGAGCGGCTGGACATCAAGATTGTCGTATGCTGATTTCGTGAGATTCTTGCAATCTTAGTTACTAGACCAGTCAATCCCTTCGCTATCGTTCGGCTGATTTGTCAGAGGTTTGGTATCGACCGATTTCGTTGTGGCGTTTGCTTACTCCTTGATTAGTCGAGAAGGAATTACGAGGTGCAGGGCCAAGACAGTTACTTGGCCAATCACAACTTGGCGTGGGAGACCACCCAGTCATCAAAATCATAGCCTAAGCCTGCTTGCCAAATCGGGCACATCGACATGCAGCATCTGAAACCTCGTGGCCGGGGTTGACAGACGAGCAAAGAGCATAGTGTTTGCCGTCAGCCCAAGGCAAACGGAAGGGATTATCGGGCCTATCGTCGCACCCCACGCTCTATTTCACTTTCTATCCTGCATCATGCTCGGATTTCGTGCATAGGAACTGTCAGCTCCAAGTTTGGCATTCAAATCCTCTGACGCTGGTCGAAGAACGCGGGCATTATCATGGCGTACTGCGCGTTTCTCTATCTTACTTCCTGGCTCATGGTAGCCTTGTCATTTCTTGATAGCTACCTTGTGCATGCCGGAGAGCCATTGATCACCCAAGCCCCTCGAGTTGATGTCAACTCTCTTTTTGCTCGAGGAGATGTATCTACCTGCGGTTTTGTTAGCGGCGATGTCAGTATGTCACCATCGTCACTCTTTCTAACTCGGATTTCCTACTGACATGCACGACCCGCTTTTCCTAGAATCACCACTTACGTGTCCTACGAGCTACTCCTGCACGTCTACGGTACAAGACATGATAGGATGGGCCTGCTGCAACCAGATTCAGTGCGCAGGAAACTACCGCATCTGCGTGGACTACGGTGCTCAGCTCTGTGCTGGGGGTCTAGATGCATCAGACTGCTCATCGATATATACCTCCATTCTGTCTTGGTGAGCTGGACCTTTTATGATGAGAAAATAGTCTGATACCTTCGAAAGCTCTTCGGCTGCTCCATCCTGCTTCTCGTACGCTCGGTCGCTGAGCCTGGGGGCCGTCTCTACGTATTTCTCCTTGGCGTGCGGCCAGACATCCGGCACCGTGCTGGCTCTTCAGACGTTCTTGGGTGGCAACTCACCAGCAGCGGGCACAGCAGGTATGCGGTCTTAGCATAGAGCCTTCGAACGGAAACGCCGAGCTAACAAGAACCTCCGCCCCAGCCTCCTCTACCGCACCCGGCCAATCCAGTCCTTTCTCAACAGCCTCGAACCTCGGCTCCTCGCCTACTGAGTCCTCTTCATCTAGCCTCTCAGCGGGAGAAAAGGCCGGTATCATTGTCACTTCCGTCGGTGTCGCTGTCACTATGGTCGGGGTTGCGGTAGCGATTATGGTCGGCTGGTGGAAGCCACATCAAGTGCTCTGGCTCGTCACTTGCGGTAGGCGGGGCTGCAAGAGATCGGTCAAACCGCGGCAAGCGCAGGCGGGACATCAGCTCGTGAATGTGGGCAGTGGAGGTGCTCATAATGTGGGTGTCAATCATGTCGCACATGGTGGGCGGTGGGGCGCGATTGGAAGACCGTGATGCTCTGGGGTGGGTGAATGGATGATTACGGAGGTTCGATATGTTTTTGGGCGCAGGTACGGCTGACTTTTTAATGGTATGATTCATTGCAATCTCAGGGACGTAGATGGGGTTTGCGTATGTTGTCAATTATACTAATAAAGTTGCAATGCGATTCTAAATATTATACAGTAAAACTCGATATCTCAGGAACCACGCTGATTACCTCCATCGCCCGAGAAGCCCTATCGACCCTTTAAACGGCTTAAGCAAGGCGCGGAAGCGTGCTCCGGATCCCGGACTCGGGGAATTCTCCCCAGCAGTTGCCCTGGCGTTGATAGAGAGCAGCGTAGTCGTTGCTCTCCACGGCCGGGCTGACGGTCACAGCCATTCGCCCACCATGGCCCCCGTGGCCCTCGCCTCCCTCGTCGAGGTCCGTGGCGTCGTCGCCCGTAGGGGACGCCGCCGCCATTCCTCCGGTGCGGTCTGAAGTCGGGAACCGCGACGGGGTGTTCGACCTGGCAGCCGGAGCGCATGTCGCGGTCCTTTGGCTTGCGCCGTCCGCCCCGTTCCCACCGCCCTTGCGGACTGGACCGGGTGCCCTGGACTCTCGTTCACGACGGGCTGGGGGGGATACGTCGGAGTCCTCCCCGTCCGTGTCGGACGGCTCGTCAGCGCTGCCTTGGTCTTCCTTCTCGGACTCCTGGTCGATTTCCATGGTGGAGTCTTCGTCGTCCTCTTGGAAGGCAGATGCATCATTCTTGACCGGTGCATCCTGGTTAACGGGTGCTTCTTCGTGCATGGACCCGTCCTCGGAACCCGAAGGCTCCTCCTGGTCTTCCTCCTCCTCCTCCTCCCCGTGCTTCTGGTAGACGGAGTCCATTCTCTCACTTTCTTCCTCCTCGTCTGAGTCCGTCTCTACCACGTTCTTGGCCTTTCTCCCTGGCCTCGAACGGGCTCTAAACCTCCGCGGCCCGGTCTCGTTCTCTTCGGGTGAGGCTTTCGAGCCCCTCGTGCGCTTGCCCTTGACGCCATCCTCCATCAGGAATTTGGCGTTCACCTTCTTCTTGTAGTCTTCCTCGCCATCCGAAGACATCTCCACCCAGCCTATCCATTTCGGTTTGGCTTTTCCGGATGCTGCCTTCTTCGTTGCGATGCCTTTCTTTGATGTCTTCCTGTCCGTGGTCTCTGCCTCCTGACCCTTCGCCTTTTCGGCAACCGGGTCCTTGACGGCGATACCTTTCTTCACCGGTTCCTTCTTCTTGACCTCGGGGACCTGCTCCTTCGCCTTGGACGAGGTTGAAGCGACCGCTTTCCCGGATGTGGGAACGAGCGGCGACGCTGCTCGCCCTTTCACCAACTGCTTGATGTAGAACGCCGCGTTGGGACTGCAGCTCGGGCACAGCCACGTCCCGGCCGGCTCCTCCGTCACCCGGACGCATTCCCAGTGATACCATCCCACGCGGCAGTCCTCGTTGTCGCATTGGATGTAGCTTCCGGACCCGTCGCCGGTGCCGCAGCTGCATCGCCAGTCTTTTGGGATTTCGGAGTCCGATCTCTCGGTCGTGGTGGCGCGTGAGGGCGGAAGCGAGGAAGAGGGTTGTCCCTGGCTGGACATCGTCGCTGCGTTGAGATGAGGTGATGGATAGGGCTGTGGGTTGACTGGAGTGTGGGTGTTGTGAGAATGGGAAATCAGTTCTGAAGTTTTGTGGGAGGTTCTGTGATTCGAGGACTGAGAGTTTGGTAGATGGTGATGATGGTGAGACAAAAGGTAAGAATGAATGAAGATCAAGGTCATGATATTTAAAGGTGAGCATGGTGTAAGAGGCCTCGGTGCCGAGCTCGTTGTGCCAACCTCGTCGTGTATTGCCAACTGAGGACTCAATGATACGGCATTGAGACAATGTCTTTGTGTCACTTCTTGCGCCTGGCCAAAGAGGTGTGGAACAACGAGCTAGTGGCATTCGTGCACGTTACCCTATTTCTTTGTGCGTTACAACATAACGCCATTGTTGTGGCAGCGCCTTTTGGGTCGGTGGAAGTCGCTGCGTCGTGGTCCCATCTGAACTCGTCTTCGGCACCGGCGGTGCTTGTAGAGTGGGTCTGGTGGATATCCCCGTGTCGTACTGTTGCAGACGGGCGATTAGGTCGACCTTTTGGGCAGTGCGAGGGCGGGAACTGGCTTTGAGAAGATCGTCGAGCTCAGCGTTGGCGGTGTCGATGTCACAGAAGTTGCACGGGGGCACTCAAAGGTCAGAATACGAGGAAGAACGAGGTTGATTGCCAAGCTCATGCCAATTTTGGGAGATGGAAGTACACAACTGTATGAGAAGGCCACCGGCACAGTATCTTGTTGTATATATTTATAAGGTTATTTCTGGCAGCTGGGAGATGAATCAATGAAAGGAAAAGAAGCGGAGTGCGGTCGATATATACAACATAGTGTTTAGGCATCTCTGACAAATAGTGCACCTTGTAATGGTCACCATACAGCCGGCAGCGTGCATGCAGCCCACTTTCACTGGTGTTCGACCGAACAATGAAGACAGACCTCAGTAATCTGCACGCTAAGAGGAACGATAGGCACATGTTTGGCCCTAGAGTGTGAGTTTGATCGCGACTGTCTTGGTTGACCATGATGGGCCGAGACCGTCTTCCTTTTTCGATCGGGGGACTTTGCACCCCTTGCGCGCGCGAGCTCCAATCGCTTCGCTATCCCCTAGAGCTCATCACGCTGTACGAATCACAGCCACCTTGGCAAAGGAACGACTTCGAAGCGAGAGGAGGCAAGGTCTTGTCCCACACGTCTACATCTGAAGACCGGTGGCGGTGGGATGTGGTGACTCGATACCTGATACCGTGGTTCTTGAGCCGATGGGGTCCGCGGAGAAGTCCCCTGCGTTGCCGGGTCCGTATGCGTAACATCGGGTCCGCGACGGCAATCCATCGATTTGACCTTTTCTCGACCGCATCGTGTCTTATGGCCATGCGAACGCTCATCTCGGCAGATTTAAGCACTTTGAAGTCGGTCAGAGGGCCGATGTAGATGATCCAGTCTGCCAATTGCGTCGATGCAGCGAGCCTTAAAAGGTACCGGTAAATCTTCACGCCGCGGTTAACATCAAGAGCGCATCATTGGGCGGGCGTACGCTTTGTGGTTAGGTGTTTTCGAAAAGGTATACGGGGTCCTGGCTTCGCAGGCATGGTAGAGCTATCACTGCGGCGGATCGACTGCGGCGGCGCGTTGGAGAGATGTTCCCTAGGTCTTGTTTAAGGGCATAGTCGAGGACTTGCAGCGGAAGCTCCGTTGGGAGAACTGTGAGAGGCTTGGTTTCGAGTTTTAAGGATTTCCTGGCATACCTGTAGGGACAAGCGGTGGACTGTTGTGTTTATAGGAAGATTCTACTTTGATTCATTACCGTTGCACAAAACATTGGCGTAGTGGGCGATGCAAGCCTGAGTAAATATTTTTTGGGAGCACTTTCGGTGATGGAACGGACTCGAAGAAACATCTTTTGTTGGTGTAGCATGGAAGAAGTATGTACACTACCTCTTATAGAGTATCGGGACTGATGAAGAGCATGCTCATGGTCAAGATTGATAGAGAAGTTTCGATAGCAACCAGATCCCTCACCTCTAGTGGAGAGCGACAGAGCACCACGATCAAACAGCACAGCTTTCCGCTCTTATCAAATGAAGCATGGAAGAGAAAAACATCCTTCGGTATTACTTCTGGTCTCGTCAACAAGTGTTTGCACTTTCAATTCGAGGTCCGTAGAAGGATTAGAGATACCGACCGTCCGTATGGTCTGCGCACACTTTGAACGCCCGCTCCGAGTGAGCAATGGCAATCTCAGTCGTGATGGTGGTAGGGCGGTCATCTACACAGACTGGTTCCCGGCCATACAGCACGTACTTTCGCGGAGGTGGAGAAGGTCTGCTCTGTCCATGGACCGAGGAGAAGCACAACCTGCAAAAGTGGTGGTGGAGTCTGGAGGATTTTTTTTTGGTTATTGTGTGTCTTCTTTGTTTCTGTATGCAGCCTGAGGCTATAACGACAATAAGCAAACTTTATGAGCCTAGCAGCATGGAGCCACGTGGCTGACAGGGCCACCCTTTAACGTCTAACTTGTCGAACTCAGCCTCTTACCACGTTACCCACATATCCTCATGAACCTTGAATTCCTAGATAGTATGATAACGTTCGACGCCTGCCCTCTCCGTTTCCTTATAAGCTAATCTACCCTGCCCTTAAATCCTTATCTAAATCACCTCTCGAATCTCCCTCCATTCTCCATAATCATCCTCCTTCTCATTAACTGATTATATATCTGCAGCCAGCCGACTACAACGTGTGGTTATTCAATTGATGTGATATAATATAGCCATACAAGCCCTAACATATGACCTGGTATTTTGCTAAGTGTCGGTGTATACATTATACCGAGTCTTGACGTGGGATAGAAAGAGGATCACGACGATAGTAGACACGTGTATGACGTGTGTATGTGTAGAGTGTAGATATGTATGACGTGTAGATTTAGACGTGTATGTGTGTGTGATGCACCGAGGCTGTGGCACGGGAACGTGAGCTTATCGTTGTAGAAGAATGGCCACTGCAACGTGGGCTTTCGATTTGACGTGCAACGTGATACCCTGACAGCGGTCCCCAAGTAGTGTCAACTTACCGCTGACGAGACTCCCGGTTACTGAGAGGCTCTGGACTTGACAGAATATTTGTCACACCTGTTGGTGTGGGACATTGTTGAGATGCGCATCGCCATATCCATTTACGCTACCAACGTGACGCTTGGCCGGGACTGCTATCGAATGTAGGACTTCATGCGGTGGTCGTTGCTTCACGATACCAGGGCGATAGCGTTGATAGTCACCAGCACTGCGTAGAAGTGCAATCCTGGTGCTGGTGTGGAGTCCGGTGCATGTAGGGAGTCTATGACAGCATCAGCCAAATCAGGAACCATTTGGGGGCTAGCTCCTAGCGCTGGGAGCTGCCCGAGCCGATCTGCGCAAGTCGCCCGCTCCTAAGGTAGGACCAAGTGGCACTTCGAGCTGTAGGGGCTGGGGGCCACATTGTCGCAATGCACCCTGAAGGCATGGGCCTGCAATGCCCTGCATTGCCCTGCAGGCAGAGGCACGCGCATGCGCAGGGTCCCCATGCCTTCGTGCACACATCCAGCCGAGAATCTTGTCTGAATCGCACGACTTCGGGATTGGAATCGCGTTGGTGTTTGATGAGTTGTCCCCCAGAGACCTCCCTGTTGTTGGCATGAATCTCAACTTCAAAAATTTTTGGTGGGGCAGCTTCCGGTGTACCTCAAGGTACCTAGCTCCCGAGGTGCGGCCTCTAGCACCCGGAGCTACCTAGCTCCTGGTACTCCGGTATCTTCGGAGCTGATCCCGATTGGCCGATGCAGCTCTTATCGACGTGGAGGCTCTAGAGGAAAGTTGATTCGCTGCCTTTTGTCCAGTTGCATACCATATTCATGGCTTGTTCCTTCGTCCGTCTAGACAGAATTCCCAGCACAAGGTCATTGATGCGGGGCCTACAGTAAGTTCACTTGAAAGTCTGTCGTCAACAAGAATCTGGTGGGATGGACGTGCATGAATGAGGACTTTGAGATAAGCCACTGCGGGCAGTTCGCTTGCTGCTGCCATTCTCACAAAAGCCCAGAATCAGATGCTAATCATTGAGTGACAACGATTGGGCGATCCGCGTGCTGCTACCATTCTCACAATAGGTCAGATTCAACTGCAAGACGGTGATCGACAAGCAAAGTGTATCCAGACGGCGACGATCAATCGAGTCCAGGTCAAAGGAAAAGGAGGGTACGAGGGTCAATGGCAATACTTTCCCTTACGAGAGAAATCTCTTTTAAGATCGCCCACTCAAATCGTAAGACAAATACTCCAGGGAAATCAAGGCGCGGTATGTGGACTGTTTTGTCTTGATTTTACATGATGTGCTTTTGAGAATTAGAGTTTTTGCTGGGTTGTCTGTCACCCATCTGATTCTCGTGTCGGGAATTATAATCACCGGCCCTTGGTATCAGATCTCAGAAAAAAGGCGGAAACAGACGATCTTAGTCCATGCACCTTGATCTATGAAGAGTGGTAGTCACTCTTGCGCAAACGTGTTCAGCTCCTGCCTAACCTGAAGGGAGAAATTTGACGCCGATGTGCCGAAAGCCCTGTGAAAAATACAGAATTATGGTGGGATCTGAAGAACATAATCTATCCTGTTAGCTGGTAACAAAACATGGTCCCAAAACTCTAGCCTCGTCAATACTTACCATCTTCTATTCTCCTATCCCTCCTATCCCTTCGCCTGCGACATCTCCGGCAGTGGCGACCAGTAGCGCTCCTAATATCGAAACACCAGGTCGTGGATTTCCCCTTCCAAGTTCCAACCCACCCTCCAGACCCGTCTCACTCCAGCTTCCGAAGACGCATCTGGTAAAAATAGCATCCTACCCGTCGTCCATAAACTAACTTAAGCTCATGCAGAAGATAACCCCTGGCGCCGTTTCAGGTTCTTCACCCGCGAGAATGGCGCGCTTATACAGAAGGGAACTAAAGTAAATTCGATTTCCGACGACTGTATATCCGTATATCCGACCACTACAACTTCGCAAGTGTTCGAATGGTTCCATTTTGACATTTCTGGAGTGCAGATGGTGGGGACGGGGCAGGCGGGATATTTGCAAGTATAGGAAATTGAATGGACAGATCTGGATCTTCCAACATGGTGAAACGAGAGACTTGCCTTGGAAGGTTAGTAAAAAATTAATTGACCGAGCATTGGTGCTGGATTGATCGCTAAATTCGGTCAGAAATGCTAATCGAGTCAGATGGTCGTGGACATTGTCATCTTGAGGAGGACATGGTGGATCGTGATTGGGGAACGGAATTTATCGATTAACTATGGACACATTTGGCGCTTGGCTCATGTGGAGAAAAGGGTATTTCGCAGACAGTAAGCGCTCATGCCGTCAAAAAACCATAGCGTATGAATCGTAAAAGTCATATCGATCATGAGACCGTAAGGCGCGTGCTGGTCTCACGTCCGGATGATGTGATTGGAGTGTCCAGGGACCCTCCGGATGCAAAGTTCGCAATTTGCCCTCGGGCCCATCGAGAATGATAGCTTCCTCGGCGGTGGGGCAGCACAGCCTGCCGAAGACGACAGAGAGTCTGAACTTGAGTGATACTCGAAGCTGTTTTCTGACGAGCCCAAGATCTGTGAGGGATAGAAGGTGTAATCGACTCCTCCTCTTCTGCTATGGCCATTAAGATGCAAGTCCATCATATCTCCTGACATCGCCGAGGAGGTTTCCATAGCCTCATCTTCGTCGATAGGGGTCGGCAGTCTCCGACGGCGAACGTAATTTTCGTAGTCGATTTCTTGCTGCAAGCGAGATGCGTGACTCTCTGGATTCCCGTCCGTTTCGAGCTTTGCGTCTATGGATCGCTGGAAGTGCCCGTAGATTGGAGTAGGTAGCCGGCCACCGGTGACAGTGTTTTGGGGTTGTTTGGATTCGGACTGTTGAAACTCCATAGTGCATGGTGAGGCTTTGGGTGATGGAGTTCGTGGAACTTGAGCCCATTGTCGAGGCGAGACAAGCGGCAAAGAGTCTGCCATGTCCATGTCTAAGTCAAAGCTCTGGTCCCTTTGAGGGACGGAGCTGGTGCTACAAGTTGAATAATGTAGTTGGTAGGCTTGATTTGTAGGTTGGAAGGGCGGCGAGTTCTCTTCCTCTGAAGAATCTGCTGGAGTGATGGTTTGTGTGAAGAGAGGTGAGGGTCGGCTTCGTGATTGTGAGAGAGGGCGGATGTGTCTGGTATCGGGTGAAGTACGGAACGGTAAAGTTGATCTCTATTGGGCTGGTTAGTAAGGCGGTCTTGGTGAGCACTGTTTGTAGCACTGACCTTGGTATCAGGCGCATATTGTTGCAGTTCGTCCTCCCCGTCTTCGCGACCTCGCTTCCTGGAGGCGAACATGTCTGCCGTGGCGGGTTGTGATGTGAAGTTGTGGAGGAAGCAGGGTTTTTGGGCAAGGCTGGATAGCAGGTTGGAGAAGTCAGAACATGACAGGCAGTGCGCAAGATATGTATGCAGTGGAGTGATGACCTTCAACCAAGTGGGTCATCTCGCATGGAGATCATGCAGGTCAGACCAGCTACTTGTAGAGTAGTGTCGAACACAGATGTTGACACTTGAAACCAGGCAGGCCCACGATCAAACGATGAATGGGGAAGGAACAAACGGAGATGGTTTACGTAGCTAGGGTTTTTGAAACCCCTAGCGTATATGAATAGAATACCGGCGAAATAGGGGCCGATAATGCAGGAGCACAGATTTTGGGACCGAATGTCCGTGCTTTGCTTGATTGATGAATTTGACAGATATTGAATCATGTCGGCACATTAACCGAGTCAGCTTTGTGATGGTGTGCTGTCTGTCATACAAATAGCTAATAACCCGAGTGTCTATCCACCAAAAGCCATCCGAGCATCATCTCTTTAGCCTCACCGCCTGTTCACCATTTTTGCAACACCCATTTCAACAATGTCTGTCTCCGAAGCCGATGAAATGTTCTTGAACGAGAACACTCGAGGTAAGCCAAACGGTCTGGAAGCTCAATCGAAATATCACTGACGGTCTTCTTCCAGTTCTCGGACAAGATCCACTCATCCCCCCTCAATTGCTGCAGTCTGAGATCCCCGGAGTATGCCCTTCTCCAAGCTACAAAACAATCTCAATTACTGATACCTTCGCCAATGCAGTCTCACTCGATCTACGAGACTGTTGCCAAAGGGCGACAGGAGTCCATCCAAATCATAACACAGCAAGATGACCGCCTGGTCGTCATTGTCGGACCCTGCTCCCTACACGACCCGGCAACGAACGTCGAGTACGCCCACAAGCTCTTCGACCTCTCCAACAAGCTCTCCGATGACCTTTGCATCATCATGCGCGCCTATCTCGAGAAGCCCAGAACAACCGTGGGCTGGAAAGGCCTGATCAACGACCCGGAGATAAACGAGACCTTCAAGATCAACAAGGGCTTAAGGGTCTCCAGGCAGCTATTCTGTGATCTTACAGACTTGGGGATGCCAATTGCCAGTGAGATGCTTGATACTATATCGCCGCAGTTCCTTGCAGATCTGATTTCGTTGGGCGCAATTGGTGCAAGGACTACGGAGAGTCAATTACACAGGGAGCTAGCCAGTGGTCTTTCCTTCCCAGTGGGGTTCAAGAATGGAACGGATGGGTCTCTTTCGGTGGCAATCGACGCCGTTGGATCAGCGGCCTCGAAACACCATTTCATGGGTGTCACCAAGCAGGGACTAGCCGCCATCACGAGGACGAGCGGGAACGAGCATGGCTTCGTAATCTTGCGAGGTGGTACCAACGGCACGAACTTTGACAAGGAGAGCGTAAAGGGCATAAGGGAGGCGTTGAGGAACTCGGACCAGAAGGAGGTCATGATGATCGATTGCTCGCATGGTAAGTATCGTCAAGGATAGGTCTTGTTTCATCGCTCATGAATGCTAGGCAACTCGCAGAAGAACCATCGTAACCAGCCCAAGGTCGCTCAAGCGATAGGAGATCAGCTCCGCGAAGGCGAGACAGCCATCGTGGGCGTGATGATCGAGTCGAATGTCAACGAAGGAAACCAAAAGGTTCCACCAGAGGGACCAGAGGGCCTCAAGAAGGGCGTCAGTATTACAGACGCTTGCATCGATTGGGATACGACAGTTGAGGTTCTTTACCAATTGGCGGATGCGGTCCGGACGAGGAGAAAAGTTGTCAAGCAGCAGACCAACGGGGTCAATGGGGCCAATGGGGTCAATGGGGCCAATGGGGCCAATGGGGTCAATGGGGCCAATGGGGTTAATGGGGTCAATGGGGCCAATGGGGTTAATGGGGTCAATGGGCATTGAAAAGCATGCTACTCGTGGCTTCCTACTCACGAAGTTCCGAAAGTAATAGGAATGTACTTGATTCGGGTGTTTTGAAAGAAGAGTTGAGAGTTGAAGTATTCGGGTTGCTCTTTACCATCTAGAGGCAAATCATAAAAGTACACTCTTTGGCTCTCTGTATATCGTCATCGTCTTGCGGTTCTTTCAAACCCGCATCTTTTGATCTTGAATCTCGAAGGAGGTCTGCCAGATGTAAAGAAGAGGGGCATGAATCCTCGGGTGTTTTCATTGATGAAGGCTCCGGCAGCAAGTCTTGATGCACTTCCGCATACTGTCTCTTCTTCTCATGCTGTGACACTCTACACATTTATGAATCCAGTTAGCAGATGTCCAGAAGAAGTTCAAAAGGCAACAAGTTCGTCTAGTAGACTGTATGCGGTCTACTACGAAGCCCGTTAGCCAGACTGTGTTTCTTTTTCCTTCAACCCGTTTTCCCAGCTCTTACAGCAAGGAATACACTGCAAAAATACATAAAAGGAAAAGTATATTTCCACTTACTTTGCAATATTCTCGCTTGCAACAGAAAAAATCAGTAATCAAATGAAACGAAGTTAACATTACGCAAATGGAAAGCGGAAGAAACATTTCAATTGTTTACCTTCCATGTACAAAGATGGCTACACTGGAAAGGGTTCTATCAGTTGACAGGAAAGAAAAGGGTAAGGAAGACCTTGTAGGAACGAAAAGGCCATGCTCGAAGGTTGTCTGAACTAGGTATTCTACCTCAAGGGAAATTGCAGCCTTCCTGATATCGCATTCCTTATCTATATCTACATTGACACATGCCTTCAAGAATAATTCCTTCAGAGATAACGTTGTCTCAGCTACAACCCCTACACAGAACAATATTTGAAAACGGATACACAAACTCGGCTAGGCCTAGGGTTTAGGGCTAATGATTCAGGGCTTGTAACACCACCAACAACAGGCTTCAGCTGTATAGCGACCAAGTGGCTGTCATTTGACATGTTGCGCAGCTACTAAGCGTATATTTCACAAGAGTCCGCCAACTCCCTCCCTCGCTACCAAGCCAGCAAACACGCGCCATGCTCCCCACTACCATCTTCATCTCCCTCTCCCTCTCCGCCCTCCTCACTCTCACGTCTGCAGCCTGTACATTCTCCCCCCCCACCCCTTCTTTCCCTACCTGGGAGCTTGTACTAATACACCTTTCACCAACAGCACCAACCTCCTTCTGCAAATGCACCTGCTTCACCAACAGTACCATTATCCCCCTGGACGCCCCTATCTCCACCTCCCCGCGCATAATGCACAACGCTCTCCTCCTCCCTCGCGCCCCTGACGACCCCGACGATGCGCAAGACCGCATACCAGATGATCCTCCTGCAGACGATGCGCCTCCAGAGACGCTGCCGGACGGAGACGGTGGGAAGGGGAAGGGGAAGGGGGAGGAGGGGGATGATGATCGGAAGGAATATCGGGCGGGGAACTGCAATGATTGTAATAGGCAGTTCTGTTTGGATTATAATCTGCCGATCTGTAAAGGCGCGGGGATGGAGGATGTGTTTACTACATGTTTTCGTGAGTCTGCCTACCATGCGTTGCAAGATTGGGGGATCAGGGAATAGGGACGGAATGGGTGGATGAACAGATAGAAGCAAGCGAACGGGTATCATGGGGGACGGCAGCTGGCTGACGTTGTGCTGCAGAACGAGACTCGAGAAAGGATGAGGCGGTGGTCTTTATATTCATTATTGCTACGGCAGCATTGCTGATCTGGGCTGCCATCAAGCCGTGGGTGGCGAAGTGGGTTGATGTGAGCTTTCTGTATGGCATGTTCACGCTTAGGACTTCACTGACTTGTTGGCTCTACAGAGTGCGAGAGAACGAAGGAGCTATATACCGGTGTCGAGTCAGGGTGATAGCTAAGCCTGAGCTGATGGTGCGTTGTAGTATATATGGAAGGTAAGCATGTTCAGCATACAGCGTTGGCGTTAGGACATTGGGCTCTTTTTTTGGAAGTGGCTGGCTACGAGGAGTTTTTTGCATTATCGCTTGGGATCTCACTGAGAGAGAAACATATAGGCCAAAGCATCAGAGCATTGCATCGAATTCGATTCCTAGCTCATGTGCTCGTGCTATCATGACGATCTCGTAGACCTCTCCTGCCACCAGGCTCGTTGCTTCATTGTCTCATGCTCAACCCAGTTGGCATTTCCCATCTAGACAATATCTCCACGCCCCTCCTTGCTGACCTTCTTGTGAGCGGCATCCTCCATCGGCCCCACAGGGTTGCTCTCTAAAACGTTGTCCTTCGTGTCTATGCTCTCATCCTTAGACCCAGTCTCTGTTTTGCCGGCGTCAGCCTTGCCAGACGCGGGAGCTCCAACCTGCTCGTTGGACTGCTTCTCTGGCTCCGGAGACTGGCGGCCTGCGTGGGGTGCTGACATCTTGTTTGATTGGGGTGGTGGGATAGGTAGAAAAGGGGTGTGATACTGGTATGGTTTTGGTCTGCATGATTCATGTCAGCAAGAAGCTCTTGAAGTTGATCTTGTGAGGTCTAAGAGATAAAGACTTCTTCGCCTGTATTCACGGCAGCAGGCAAGAAATGGTCATTGTCCAAGGGTAGAAGGTGCTGATTGTTGAATGATACTTACACGAGTTAGTGCTTTGAATACCTTAGATGAGTGTGTATTTCTGCGAAGAGATGTCGTTAGTTTTGCTGGTGGTTGAAGATAAAACCTGGAGGGGCAGAATTTCCATTGAGGTGAAGCCCCACCAAAATACGTCACCTCACGGACAAAACGGGCAAGTGGTGAGAGTACTCAAATGACGGGTGCGCCTGCTAAAAGCTTACAGCATCATGATAAATACGCTCTCACATCCCCTCCAGTACCTGCTACTCTCTCTTCCCCACCTACGATAACATCATGGCATCAATTGAGCCCTACACTATCTCCGTCCCTGAGGAACAGCGCCAACAACTTACCCAAAAGCTTGAAGCCACAACCTTCCCTGACGAGCTCGACCAAGCGGGCTGGGACTACGGCGCCCCCTTGGCTGACGTGAAACGATTGGTCAAATACTGGCGAGAAAAGTTTGATTGGAGGAAGCAAGAAGCTAAGCTCAATGAACTCCCAAATTTCAAGACTGCAATTCAAGTCGACGGCTTCGAAAGTTTGGATATACACTTCGTGTATCAGAAGAGCGATGTAGAGGGAGCAATCCCTCTGCTCTTTTCCCATGGCTGTGCGTGACCACTATCAACCCTGCGACCCTGCCTGCTGATTGGACTCAGGGCCCGGCAGCTTCATCGAAGTCACCAAGATCCTCCCTCTACTTGCCAATGGCGGTAAGGAGGCCCCGGCCTTCCACATCGTGGCTCCCTCTCTTCCCAACTACGGCTTTTCCTCTGGCACGAAGAAGAAAGGCTTCGGCCTACCTCAATACGCTGAGACATGCCACAAGCTTATGCTCAAGCTTGGGTACGATAAATATGGTACGTCCCTTGTCCCCAATCAGAAACATAATCTGACACGAGATGTGCATAGTCACACAGGGTGGCGACTGGGGCTGCATGATAACCCGCATAATGGGCCTCCTCTACCCCCAACACGTCATGGCTTCTCACATAAACATGGTCCGTGGCCACGCTCCAGAATTCCTCTCCCATCCCATTCTTGCTACCCAACATGCCCTTGCGCCCTATACTCAACGCGAAAAAGATGGACATGCCCGCAGCAAGTGGTTCTTAGAAGAAGGCAGCGGCTACCGCCTGGAGCAGAGCACAAAACCACAAACACTAGGATATGCACTCGCAGACACTCCAGTCGGATTGCTGGCATGGATATATGAGAAGCTGCATGACTGGACGGATAGCTATCCCTGGACCGAAGATGAGATACTGACTTGGGTATCCATCTACTGGTTCAGCACCGCTGGTGTCGCTGCCAACCTGAGAATCTATTACGAAGCAATGCATGACACGCAATTTGGCCGGGAGAGGACGGAAAAATGGATAGCGCATGTAAAACTCGGTCTGGCACACTTTCCAAAAGAACTCACGGTGGTGCCGAAGTCGTGGGGACGAACCATGGGGCCAGTTGTGTATGAGAGCCAAAACGAGAGCGGCGGACACTTCCCAGCATGGGAGAAGCCAGAGGCGATTGCGAGGGATCTACATGAGATGTTTGGGAAGGGAGGAGGCGCTTATGGTGTTGTGGAGGGGAAGGTAGGGTATCTGAGTCCTAGGACTGCGAAGCTTTAAGGATAGGAAAAGATATGCACGCAGAAGAGGATAAGCCGAGACTGTAAATTTCGTTACAACACACATACGAACGGCATAGGTCCAAGCGTGCATATGCAGGAGAACAGTGTTGTTGTAAAAGCAAAAAGCTTTCTCGGGCGTGTATGGACCCTCTACCAGACCGAGCTCCGTTCAAAGCGCAGCTGCATTCCCGCTCAGTTAAAGCGCGATGTTTCTTCTCGGTTTCCCATTCTTCTAAAAAACACCCTGAAGCCACTCAGGAATCAACGGTAGCAAAATGGAGCCAACAATGTTGCATCTCTGCGTCCTCATCCTCACTCCTACCATCAGGTCCATGCCGACTGTTCGCATACTCCCCATGGTAAGCGCCATTCCCAACCTCTCCTTACCCAGTTCCCCAGTCGAGTGCAGCGCCCAACAACACGACCACCACCTCGACGTCGCCGCCTGCCGCCAAGCCGCCAAACTCCTCCCCTCCGACAAACCCAGCGACATCCCATACGACCCCCGCACCCACACCTACACCTGGCCAACGTTCAGCGACCACCGCAGCGGAAACGCCAAATAGCACCTGCCACGCACCAGGCAGTACGGCAACTGCGTCATCGATGTGCGCCTGAACCGCGGCGTGAGGAGCGAGGTGTCGCCTTGGGGGTTTGTCGCGCAGGCGGCGGGCGATGTGATCACGGAGTGCGTGCAGTGGGGCGGGGGCAGGGGTGGGAAGGGTGTCACGGGCGAGACGGAGAGTATCGAGGTCACGGTGTATTCGGTCGTGACGGATGGTGCTGGGGTGCTGAATGGGACGCTGGTGGTGGCGAGTCGCTGATAGCGAGTCTAACTTACATACTTTCACGCAGAGCTGAAAAAACCTTCGTACTCAGCTTTGGCGCATCCATCTTTGAATGTTCACTGTGCATGGAGCGATTGTACACGAGGACGCACGAAGTCAAAGTCAGTTTGCTACGTATATGAAGAATTAACTTTTCATGATGTCCAGTTGGTGGAAATCGTCAAGACTCAGGTTCTATTTTTCTCTCAGAGTTGCCAGTCTCAAGACATGGATTTTCCGGACGTGCTTCAGAACTCAGTCAACTACGTACGATGCCGTCTCTCCAGCCAAATGATACTGGGCGACACAGAGCGTTTCTCTGGGGGGCGCGGTGGATATCGAAAGACTCGAATTGCGCTAGAATATCTGAAAATCTACCAGAAAGACTACTCTGCAGTACTTTGGGTTAATGCTGCCACATATGAAAGTGCCGAAGAATCCTTTCAGCAACCGTCTTGGGATGGAGATACGCACTACAGCCAAGTCTGCCACAGTGGGAGCCAGAGCGCACGTGCACCTCGTTCAGCAGTGGCTTGCTTCCGGCAAGAATAAAGATTGGCTCGTGATACTCGACAGCTTGGATGATTTGGAAAGCTTTGGCTGTCGAGATCTTGTACCTTAATGCAGCCATGGAAGTATCATGTCCACTAGTACATTTTCGCGCACAATGAAGGCCTGGATCTCAGGGCCTGGAAATCAGTGGTCTAGATCTCATTCATGGTTGCGAGATGCTGCTTTCCGGTGTGGGCGTTGAAGCTAATTTAGACAAATGTACCTTATTCGAATTCTCAAGTTCTCCAGAAGGGTTGGACCGTCTTTCTCTTTCAAAAATTCCGAAACAAACTGTCAGAGCGATGGATGGGGTGCCACTGGCAATCGAATAAGCTAGAGATATGATTAAACAAGGTATCCCTGTCCGGGACTTTCTGAGGCATTTCGAGACACAATATCAGAGGTTAATGGCACACAAGCCCGCTAGAAGTGCCTGGGATTTCGAAAAGAACATTTCTATTATTAGTGTTTTCAACATGCTACCTACGAGGTTCGAGAAAGACGGTGACTCCGAGAATATACTGGCTATTGCTTCATGTTTTGGTCCGCGCCCAATCGCTATGAAAATGATGTGTCAAGTGCATCGGCAGGAGGGCAGGGCTGTATCTTCCTGTTCCGGTCGGTGCGAAGTACAACCAATGCGCGAGATGACTTGGCTTGGTCGTTTCGGACGTGACCGACTCGCATTTCAGCTCGCAACAGGTCAACTAGAAAGCTTATGCCTTCTAAAACTGAAGAGAGACACCGAAGGGAGTACCGTTAGCATCTCGCTCCATCATGCCATCAGTCGGTGGCGATTTGAAACGCTGACGAGCGAAATAAAGGAGAGCTGGATAATTGCTGCAGCCTGCGAACCGAGCAAACGCTTGCCAAAAGATATCGTCGATCAAGGATCTCAGATAGAGTGTTTACCCTTGATCAGGCATTTTCATTACATCATTCGGCGTTACGTCGAGCCTCAAAAGCTCGAGGCCCCTGACGGCGAGCTCTGCCACCACTACAGTCACTTGATGGCTCGATTTGCTTTCCTATACCTCAACATTGCGTACATGGTCGAAGGCAAGGACGTGTTCGTGCAAGCAATAGAATATCAGAAGATCTTCGAAGAATCATCGTGGCCAAAGGACCGTCGGTCGTTGCTGCCTCTCAAAGGTCTGGCTATGACGTATTCTGAAAACAGCGAAGTGGAAGATGCTGTGGAGACGACCAATATCTCCTCGATGCAAGCACAAAGCTATTTAGTCCCCAAAAGGAGATCTCATCTTAGACAGCGGCTCGACTACCCGTCGTGAAGGACAAAAGGATTCGAAATACCAAGAACAAGCAGCGTGCACGAGCATGGGAAGATAACACAACAACCGTATGCGAGATACGCTGGGATGGGCACAGATGCAGCGGAAGGAAAGAGGCAACGACGGCATACGCGGAGCAGACATAAATTGGCGAGATGCGAGCTCCGCCACTGCACTATCAGTTGCATCATGGTGGGCAGACCGGTCGTTCAACTGCTGCCGACAGTGAACATCGATGCTGAAGGGAATGACGGTAAGTTTGCAGCTTGCAGCCTGGTGATCGTCACGGTATAGTGCAGCTACTTCTGGATAACGGTGCCGATGTCAATGCTAGTGGTGGTATGTACGGCACCGCGCTGCAAACAGCATTGTGCCAAGGCCATACTGGACTGGTATATTAACTCATGGCCGCGGGTGCTTGTGGCAATGATGCCTTGAGTACCGTTCTGTCTAAGGAATGATATCAAGCAGTTGCACTCTGTACAAGCGTTTTCTCTACGAGTGGTCCGATTCGCTGCAGACCAGGCACTGTTCGCGAGACCTAGTTCAACAACTTACAAGGCAAAAAACGGTATAACCTTGTCGTTTGTAACGCACCCTTCCTTGGAATAGTATCGTTGGGGGAAGCTGCATAATTTAACATCTCTTCATGGACTCGCGAGAAAGCAGCTATTCAATCTTGTCGAAATAAACAACCCCCTTTTTAACTAAATTTTTCAGATTTAGAGGAAATATGAGAGGCTAGGAGTCTGAGAGCAGGTATGGACGACGTCGGAGTGTTAGCGACTCTGAAACATTAGCGGCTAGGCATGTATGTTGATTGCAAGGATTGATACTCTCCTTTGGCTTGAAGTCCATAAAACACTACAAAATTCTCGGGGTTTCCTGACCTCCGACGTGAACGTCCTGTGTGAAAACGATAACCAGGCCTGACAGTAACCGATACGCTCTTTCGCAGAAGATTCGAGTCATGCGTAGAGGCTGTGTCTCATCATATTGGAAGCATTCAATCCGCCCTCCTTGTTTACGTAACATGCAATATCACTCAAAACCCCCTGCCTACTGCCTAGGCCATGCTATGAAGAGACTGCTGGCGTACAAGCAAAATAGCTCTGATGGTGATCTCAAAACGACTTCGAACACTCTGCGCCAAGTGAGTTTCAACACACGGTGCTGCGCTATGTACACCGTTGTTCCTCATGCGTACTCAGCACATCAAACTTCACCTTCATGACCGAATGTCCCGTGGACTTGTTGCCAAGATCAATGCCAGTCACCTCGATTGATTGCAGACCGCCACGTGGACTTGGCCCATGCTCCATGCGCACAGTATTCGAGCCCGGGTTCTGTGCCCATGTGGTACCAAGGAACATACGGCTTGACTTGCGCCAAAGCTTCGACCGGGACTATGGCGGACTATATTTCGAAGATGTGAGGAATATTTTGGGACACCCTCGTCCACAGAAGCCGACCTGTTCGCCCAACGCTTTTCAAAATCCACTCCCACGGTGCAGTTTGTGGATTCTCTCGGTCCGTTGACGAGGAGTCTTTTCTCGACTTCGAGCTCTTGGAGTGGAGCTGAGTGATGTAGCGATATGGACAAAGTTCCACCTTCGACTCTCCGCTCCCCTTCGGCGACGTAGGAGTGTCGGACCGTCATAGCGTAAGTGGCGTTCCTGTGGAGATTTTGCAGGGCTTCGTGGCGGACTCGGCGCGATGTGAAGAGAAGGGAGAGGTTGTTGTGGGGGATGAGGGTGAAGAAGTGGATCCGGTCGCGGAGTTTGAAGGGAAGACGCCGGAATGGGGTGGGATGTTGACGTTTTTGTGCGACGTTGAGGGGTGTTTTGGTGCGATATTAGTGGCGAGAAGTGTGTTTGATAAATGTATCACCTGCTGCGTTCGCGGTACGAGCGTGGCCTTGTATCTCTACTCATATATCTATTTCCCCTTTACTGGCTTTGAAGAAGGCACGTATTGTTTGTCAGGCCTCCTCGTTTTCCACGTCACTTCGATTTGTCAAGGTCCTTCAGCTCTCTCTGTGCCTTCACATGGTAGAATTACTGCACGGTCGTCTCGGAAAACACTGATCCCAAGTCCATTCCTCAAGCCCTTCCTTGCCATATTCCAACGTCAGCCTTCTCGCGAACCAAACATGTCATCCTTCCGTCTGCTGAACCTCCCACCTGAGCTCCGTGACCCAATCCACGAATCCATTCTCATACCCCGGGAGCATCCCCACGCTGCTCGTCTCGTCTCGTCGCGCCGGGTCCGCCAGGAAGCCATCCGGCTTTTTGCACAGGAAGGCAACGTACAACGGCTCCCTTCACGTACGGTACGGCCGGAGCCACAAGCACCGCACTTCGAGGTCGCTGCACTCAACTCCGCATCTTGTTGCCCGGCGAAAATCCCGGTCCGCGCAGTGAGCGGGACTTCGATGCCTTTTGCCCGCCGGAATCAAGGATGCCCAATTCTTTCCATGGTCTTCGTCGACTACGGTGGCGTCGTACGCCTTTCTCCCCCGTGTCTGTGGAGTTGGATAAGATTCGGCAGTCAGAGTACTGATGGTCGCTGATCCAGGACGTCGTTCGGAATGGGAGCTCCTGGGTTTGGGGAAGGCGGGTCTTCAGCATCCGTCACGGACGAACCGGCCCGGCTCCGTGGTTTCGAGCAGAGTCAACGCGAGGGTCCGACGCGGATGACGTCTGCTTCTGATTTTTCAAGATGGAGTGTTTTCTGGAGGTTGGGAATGCTCGCGACTTTCGGATGGGAAGGTGGGGTTCGCTGTTCGCTTTCAAGGGTAGGAGACGCGCACTGGATAGGATTCAGGTCTTCTTGACTGCTACTGACTCCTTCACGCATCTCGTTAAAGACGTCTTGGATCTCGACGGAAAGGTCAACGGCTCCTGGCTCGACCTCGGTCGCATCTAAGCAGCTCCTTGTCTTAGTCGACCCTAAACCCTTGAGTGTTGTGAAACATTACGGCGAGCCGATCAGGCCGCGTTTGATCTGTGGCGAGTGCTGTGAAGGTGACGTTGGCAGTGGGCGCGAGACTGACTGGACGCATCGTGCTGCTTGATGCTGGATCGTACGTATTACGCGCATAACGAGATGGAATGGGGGATTTGGAGAGCGCAGTTTTGTCAAAAGCTCAAGCATCGAGTGGTTGTGGAGGCGTATTGGAATTGTTGGGGACCGGCGGAGCCGGAGCAGGAGTGGCTTGATCGGAATAGGCTGTATAGCTTGAAGTACAATCCGAACTGCGCGACTGGCGATCAGGAGTCGGTGACGCGGGAGATTCAGCACTGTGCGCGGCGGCTTTGGTGGAAGGGACTCGGGCTGATCAGATTTGCGTAGTGCACTGCTTGATGTGTGCTATTTGTGTTAGAGGTATGCTCCGTCTCCTGAACTGCCGCGGTACGAGAGAGGATAGAGATCCCGCGGCCATAGGTGCTAAGATCGCGGTTCATGGATGATGTATGCGAGTTAGCGATGATGCGGAGAAGTTATGAGATGCTGGGGGCTTTGATCAGAGCTGCTGGATTAATGGTGATGGTAATGGTATATGCATATCAGACGTCGAGCATTAGCTATTAAGCAGACCAAGTACTACCTCAACAGAATCTTACACATAGTAGACATAGCTTCCTGGCAGCAAGCATGTATGTGAAGCCTCGCGGCGTGCATATACAGAACGGGTATCGAGAAAGGAAAAGAGCCGTAATCATCACTCGCTCACGCTCGGAACGCCTCCAACGCTTGCGAGGGAACCAAAAAGCAGTCGCGATATGTAGAAGAGCTTCTTCAGGATCGCCTCCGTCTAAACCTGCGTAGTGCCGCCGAATGTCGAAGGGCCGGCGGCATTCTTGGATGACCTTCCACCACGGCCGCGCATGAACTCGAGTGCCAGTAACGCAGTGGTAGCGACGAAGAGGGCCCTAGAGGATGCACAATCAGCTCAAACATCGCCGAACCACAAATTCGGAGGGCCAACTCACCACTCAAACGCCCCAAAGATCGCCGCCGCCTCAATCTCCCCGCAGAACCCCCCCGCGAGTGCGCACCCTTTATACACGTCCCCTAACCCGTCTCCGAGATACACATTTTCCGCTTGGTGGTGGTAGACGGCGAGCGCGATGAACCCGGCGAACCAGAATAGCATGGTCAGCGCGTCGAGAGCGAGCATGGCCATCGGGTGGGCGACGGCGGAGAAGAATCGCGGCGCTAGGGCGAGATAGATGAGGATGAGGAGCGTCCAGACGGAGGCAAACACCATGAAACTGTCGGAGGAGGGGGTCAAGCCGTAGGATGCGACTAGTGGGGCGGGTGGTTAGCTGGGCTCGCGCGCTCTCTCTCTCTCTCACACACACACGCACACGGCGGTAGTGGGATGGGGGAAATGGGAAGAGAGGGAAGTCAGAGCAGACGTACCATGGGCGGTGAGTCCGAGGACTATAATGGCGAAGAGAGCCTGCACGGCGCGTAGCGCGATGAGTATTATGTCAAGCATTGCTTATTAGGTATTGTACTGGTGGTAGCAGGGATTGTATGTGTTGTATCTGGGCTTCTCGTCAAGAGATGGGTTCTGTAATTATTCGATAGGAAATAGGGGGACAAAAATGAGGTGTAGGTAGAGTGTAGAGGGAGAAAAGGGGGATTCGATAAATATATGTTTGGGAAAAGGGAGGAAAGCAGGTTCTTAAGTAAAATTGGCAATAACATAAAATATGTCACCCATGACCCAAATTTGATCTTTCCCTCTGTGTCTGGTCTCGTGTGTGCCTCGTGCCTGCTGCTTCCCGCTTCTCGTTCGTCATTTCCTTCGTGGCGTCGTGGCGTCGTGGCGCAGCTAGCGCCATTCGCTAGAGTAAAGGCCTTGGCGGTTTGGATGGTCATTGGTCCAGAATCTAATGTACTTATTACATTCGATGGCCTTGGCGGCGCTTATTTCCAATGCCAGGCAAGCAGAGCATTATTGGATCAGCTTTGCCCTCATGGAATTCCCGAAACCGGAGAGATGATAGCCCTTGCACTTCACACATCTCAAACCTATTACTTACAAAACTACTATGAAACGTGTTTCAACAATCTCAACAATACACGCCCAACGCCACGCCTTTGGACCACGAGGATGAGGCCATGATGAAACTTGGGGAGACAGGTCCGAATCCTAATGGACCTATATCGATCCATTTCGTGTAAGCAGTCATCTATCGCTCTGTCTACTACCTAGATGCTTGAAGGGAAAGCTGAACGATGTCAGATGAAGAGCGACATGGCGAATTTGATGACGAGCTTGATGCGGACACGCTGCTCACGGATGTGTGTGGGAAAGCGGTCGTACGCTTTCAAGCCTACAACTAGTATAAGTTACTGTTTAGTGACGGACTACTAGTGATCCCCTTTTGGTCTAGTCGTAACGGTCAGCAAAACCCGTCTCGCTTCGCTCACGGAGCTACTTGTGGTGGGCGAAGTGGTGGATGAGATAGCGGATGACGAAAAAGAGGAGATGCTGGTTCCAGCGCTCGAGGCAGACGTGCTGGGTATGGTTACGGCGAAAGGCGAAGAGCTTTTGCGGCGAGTCTGCATGGTGATTGATGGTCGGAGACGCTTTTTTAAGAATGGTACTCTGGATTTACACGGCGATTTGGTTCAAACGAGGGAATAGAGAGCTGGCGGGACTGAGGACGGGGTGTAACTTGGGTACACGAGTTGTAAGTGGGTCAGGGTCATTATCATACAGGCACATTTGCTCTACCATTGGATCTTTGCTGAGCTGGTAGAAGATCCACACAGCTGTGCACACCTTGTTCGGATTGCGTGAAGTATAAGCCATTGGTGTCTGGTAAGAGTTCACTGTATCGAGCGGCTATACTAACGGGCCATGCAACGTCAAACATTCCAAGTTGCGTGGGATGGTATTCGGCAGGCCTAAACCCTCCTCAAGCCCTTTCTAGTCGAATTGAGATTGCACGTAGTGGTGTGGCTGATGCACGATGGTGTGCAGGTCGGCTGTTTCGATCTGCCAAAACCATCAATCCAAGTCTTTTGCAGCTTCGTGGCTGTGTGTAGGCTTTGATGCTGGACGTCAAGTAGATGATGCTGTTGTTCTCGAGTCCTCGACTAAAGCCTTCAACCTTACTGTTCGTTTTCAGGGAGACGGAATCGCCTTGAGCAAGCCAATACGGATAGACAGAGAGCACGTCAGGAATAGTCCTGTTGGATATGACATTCGGGCCTCGTATGCGGTGGGAGGCTTGGAAGGAGAAGCTGATGCCGTTTGCAACTGAAGTTTCCATTGTCAACATGTTCAAGGGAAGAAGGAAGTTGCAGCTTTGTCAGGAAAAATCCGAGAAGAGCATCTGCAAGACATGGCTTCCTATCCAAGACGGTTGAAGGCGACTAGGCGTTTTCGAAACTTTTCACGAGCTTGGCGGGAAAACGCGCGCTTTCCTTCATACCCAGATCCAAAGCATGCCAGTCTTGGGCAAAAGACAGAAAGTATCTTCAGGAAAACCTTCGGGAACGCTGGAGGGATCGGTATCAGATGTCATGAGTACATGTAGCACCAAGTCCGGGCCACAGATAGTGAATGAGACTATCACAAAAGAGACGGGGAAGACGAATTCCAGAATTCTAAGATGCCGGATCACCCGAAAATACCCTTGGCTTCTGCTTTTATTCGGCTTGTCCGAACCGTCGGGTCTGCTGCGGGAAACAGCGGGTGCTCACCATAGTTCGAGGCTTTTGGGGCGTTTGGATTTGACTTGGAGTGTCATAACCTAAAGTGTAATGCTGTCACCGAATACACCTGCTTCTAAGTTACAGGCTGTGCGCGATTAAGATCTTATAGGGATAGATATCATCACGGCTGAACAAAGTCCTATCAACAATGCCAGTCTACAATCAGAGCTCCCAACATGTGCGACTGTACTCTCGTCCACGATTGCATTCTGCCTCGAAAATCTTATCCACCGCCCTCGCCTCGTCAATCAACCCGTTCGCCACCTCTTTCAGCCCTGCGTCTTTAACCGACCTCATCTGCTCCACGCTCGTCCCCATACAGAACGTATGATCATGTATAAACCTCCACCCACCCACTGGCTGCTCGCTCGTAATTCCTGGTATGTAGTGGGTTAGATTGGCATACTTCTTGTTATCCGCGTTCGTCTTGTCTTCCATGAGGCCAGAGTTGAACCAAAAGGGCCGGCCATCGAGGTCGGTTTGTAGTGGCTGCGGGCTGCAGATCTCGGGAATGCCTTCGGCGTTGGCGGAGATGGGGCCTATGATGCCGGCATAGCTCGGGTGGAATGCGTAGGGAATGTCCGCGAGTTCGGGGGCCAGCCAGAAGGTTTCTTTGTCACCTAGAGCAGGAACATTAGCATCGGGTCATCGCGACTGCGCCTTCTTCGTGGGTGGGAACTCCGCACCAGCAACCTGCCCGTAGAGGTGCGCTCGCACGTTCTGCGAATTCATGTACGTTGTGAACAACAGGCTCATGAAGGCACCCGGGATGGCCTTGTTGAAGTACACGACACCGGATTCCTGTTGATGCTCCAGCTCTTCCTGCCAATACATGCTCGAGTTGAGCGTTACACTTGGCCTTCGTCCACTCTCTTTCAAGAGGGTTTTTACCCAGTCCGTTGTTCTCCGGCCGCCGTAAGCCCGGTCATGGAAGAACAGGGTTCCTGTCTGTTTCAGGCTCGCATTCTCCTCGAACCACTCGTCCGGGCGCTGCATGAATATTGTGTCTGCATCAATGATGATGACTCTTTCAAAGCTACTTGCGAGCGCAGCGAAAGGCTTCATCGCCCAACCGCCAACGCGTAGTCCCGCAATATCTTCGTCGTAGTGATCGAGGATGTTGATCAGCTCGAGCTTTGGGTCGAGCGTTTTCATTTCTCGGCGCTTGTTTGCCGGTAGGTCGTCATCGCCAGCATAAGCCACTTGGATCGGCAGAGTGGTATTGACCACATTCCGAAGCGTTCGTATGGCATGCGCTGCAAGCACCATGTTTCCTTGGCCAGCAGTTAGCACTATGCCAGTCGTGTGACTTTTGACCTCCCATGGAAGATGCGTAGTGGTAGAGGGTTTCCACCAGCCAAAGTACCTCTCCCGCAAGTCAAGGAAGGGTCTCCTATCGATCGAAACGTCGGTAAGGATCGCTTCAAGCAGGTGAGCGAAGGTTGATATATGCTTGGCCATGCTGAACAGATTAGGTCCTTCAATCCTGGAGATCGTTGAGCTGTTCATAGCATATTGTAATTTAATAGTCGCATCATGTGCAATTCGAGCTGCCTTTGAAGGGATCTTCGGCACTGGTATTGGACCCTGTGTCGGCTTCGCGCTTTTGTGTTCATCCATTTGGATTTCATGATGTGCAACTTCCGGAGCTTGCAGTGACTCCTTCTCCGACGGTGCTTGTAGCGTCCACAGCAGATATTGCTGATACTGACCGGTCGACTCAGCCCCTGGGGAGCATTCTGTCATGAATGATCCGAGACTCGTAAGGTGGGTGGCGGAATAGAACACTGTAGTGAACACAAAGCAGCAGACTCCAATGACGACGCTGCTATTTTTTGACAATCTTATGCGAGAAAAGCCGACATTGGGGACTGAGGCACTCCGACCCATGTTGAGCAGAACCGGGTATAGTGGTCTATATCTAATAGAACGGCTTCAATTGGAGGATGATGACGGTTGTTATATCTCGGTCAGATAGAAGGCATCTTCAGCTCCCATATCAGTGCGTAAGCGAGGTTGAGGAACAATCCAGAAGCCTTTGAGTAGGATATCGTTTCCACCCAGAGAAAATAAGAAGCACCGCAACACCATTGTACCAGCGCCATTAGAAATTAAACCTAATACGAATTAAATACCCCCAACAAACACGACCACAACCAACAGGTGTCCGCCGGGGAATATTTCACTTTACAAATTAATGCGTCGTATAGGATTCGAACTTAAGCCCCGTAACACCGTCGATGAAACTTTAAAACCTATGGCTAATGGCGCTATCAGAAAATAAAAAGCACCGCAACACCATTAGGGAGTTTCAGACCACTTTTTTTAAGCGTGGATTTTTCAGGTTGTGGGAAAATGAGCGATTTGCCACCAACAGCCACGCCATCCATTAAAGGTACCCTGGGGTACCTTTGGTGAAGAAAATCGACCTATTTGGTGGATTTCTCGTGTCGATATTCTATATCTCTTAGCAAATCTATCCAATTAGAAGGCCTTCCTTCTTACCACTACTACTATTACCTCCCATGGCTATCACCTCCCATACGTCCACGTCTTTCCTATCGTCCTTCCTACCGTCTTTCCTACCGTCCTTCCTACCACGCCGTCGCGGACCCCCCCCCTAATGGCGCGGAAGAAAGCCTTTATGGATAAGTTAGGGTTAGGGTTAACTTCTAAGGATTAGGTACGGGGAAGATTACACGGTCAGAAGCCTATTTAATAGTGGGGGTATTTAAACCAATTCAGACTAATCTATTTTATCATAGCTGAAAGTCTGAATATTCCACGATTCCACAGCAAAAAAAAAAGTAGTCTGAAACTCCCTATTATTATACCAGCGCCATTAGAAATCGAACCTAATACGAACTAAATACTCCTAACCACACGACCACAATTAATATATATCCGCCCTCGGACTATAATTAATGAGGAATATTTCGCTTTATAAATTAATATGTCATATAAAATTCGAATCTATGCCCTCGTTAATATCGTTCGACAGAACTTTAAAACTTATAGCTAATGGCGCTGCCAGAAAATAAAAAGCACCGCAACACTATTGTATCAGCGTCATTAGGAATCGAACCTAATACGAACTAAATACCCCCAATACCACCCAGCGAGGTCCCAAGATGACATTGTTTTGGACTCCTAGCAGCTGACAAACTCTGACAGGGCAACGCCCGATAGTGGGAGGGCTTAGAAAGAATGAAGAAGCTGCAGTGGGCGCGGAGAGATGGGAATCACAGCCAAAAAGCTAATCAACGTCCGAGAGAGGCGCTTTGCGGGATCCGGCCAGATCTGAGAGCATATGCGAAGATATCGAAAAAGCCACCTCCACAAGAGCTTCGCATTTGTGGAGAGTAAGATGCAAGCCACGACCCTTGCTATGTTCGCTCTGTGAGCAGAGTCGACAACGTCGCAGAGTGCGCAGCAACGACAAAAGACTCGCGTGGCATTGTGATGTCTCTGAGGGTTTGTATCTGATCTCGTTTGCAAATGCAATGTAGGCAAGTCGAATACTGGCGCCACGCTCATTGGGAGCCGTGGATACTGATTAGTATCAATGATGTTTTCTCGACGGCTCGTAAGACTCCGGCTGGGTTCTTTTAAGATGAAGCCCCAGATTCGTTAGAGAGATATTCGTGGGTTGCTTTTGATGAGGCGTTTCTGACAAGACCCGAGACCACATCCCAGTGCTTGCCCACAATGGCAACTCGGGAGGCTGACTGTCACACAACCCAATCCTAGCGACACCGAGAGAAGATGTCGGCCACGGATTCCCATCTAAGCGCACTGAGTATCCTGGCATGATGTGCAGAATTCAGATCATCTTCTGGGCTCGCTGCCACGCTGCTGAAAATTTCCTCCCACGAACGGTGTTGGAGGATTGAACGAGCTTGATAGTGAAAAAAATATATACTAAGCGTCGTAGTTCTAGATGTAGAGAGGACTAGGCCGTCAATGGGATGTAGATGTAATGTAATTTCAAGGAGGCACGAAAGAAGAGTGTGCCAAGAGATTAGATTAACCGGAGTCCAAATACCATGTACGAGTATGATGTAGCCAATCAACAACAACGGGTGCATCATTTTACATCATAACCCCACTAAAACCCCTTCCCCCCCACCTTCCAGGGGTCCAAATCCTGTTCCTGCCAAGTTTCACATCAATAATTACCCCTCCAACTTCCAGCATCTCTTCTTCTTCTTCTTCTTCTTCTTCTTTTTTATTTTCTTCTTCACTCACACACACTCACACACACACACACTCACACTCATACCTATCCTACCCTACACTCATACAAGCAACATATCTAAACACAACCCAATACTCGAATTCTCTCAATATGTTCGGTTGGGGTAAGCCATAATCACATCTTTACAGTGTTGTAACCATTGATCATCAGCTCACACAAGCCTCAGACGACGCTTCGCAGGCCCACCAAGACGTCTACGGACAAGATGGGCCTCAGCCCGATAACCAAGGCAGCTTCACCCACGAAGTGCTTGCCGGTGCCGCAGGTGTGGAAGCTATGAGGAAGTACCAGCAGCACGAGGAAGCCAATGGTCTGTGGTCCTACCTCCAAATTCACTCTTCCCCTCAAACTTTCTTCCACTCTCGCACCATCCAACCCAATTGCAACATTACTGACACGCCTTGTTTGATAACAGGTGTCGCCGAGAATCACACCATGGCCAAAGACATCATCGCCGGTTTCGCAGCCGGGGAAGCCGACAAGCTCGTCGAGACCAAGGGCGAGAACTTCTACGACCGTGAGAAGATGAGGCATGATGCGCAGAACAATGCCTCCAATTACTACGACCAGCAAAACCAGGGCGGTGACTCTGGCTACGGAGGAAACCAGGGCGGTGGCTCTGGCTACGGCGGAAACCAAGGCGGTGATTCGGGATACTAGGCTGCTTGATGAGCAAAATGCATGAATAGCGGGAACGACGAGAGAAGATAGCGTGATCTTGTAGGTAGAAGCTGTTCGGACCGCTATCCACTGGCTGCTCTCGAGTACTACCACAATTGATCCATCATGAGCTTCTACATTCTACCAGAGTAGTCAATCTCCCTCCATACCGTATTCCGTGATCAAGCCTTGTTGCTAAGCCTTCACTTCACCTCCGTCGTTTCTCTCCCTCGACAAGCGGACCATGTCCATCTTCCTCCGTTAGTCTCCTACCCCTGCTTCCAGACACGGACTTATGTCAAGTGGTGATATAGGCCTTGTGCTTCTGTGGAGCTCCTCGGCCACAAGACTTCTCTAACTCGATAAGACCTTTGTGAACCCCAGGCCTGCGGTTGCAGAAAGTGCCGTTCGCCGGCGAGCATGACCGAGCTGCTGAGTTCTCTTCGCTCTGTGCTTCAACCGGTGACCGAGGCTCAGGAGTAAGACCAACCAGATGCCCGGGGCCCGCGAGGCCTCACCCTAGCTTCTTCAGCTCCGCCAAGGACACTCAGGGGATTCTACCTGGCGGTGCAACACGATTCCGCTGCGAAGGTTAAGATAGATGGGTATATGAATGTCCCTTGTCCTGCGGTGAGGATTGCAATAGAATCAATCGCAGTTGACGGGCTCAGCACTTAGCTCACCAAATTTGGTAGACCCAGCGTTGCGTCTCCGAATTTCTTTCTACGGCTAGTTCAAGGCTTTTGTCCCGCTCATCGTTATAGCTCACTGTCGAAGCAGCTAGTGCCCCAACCTCCCCCTAATCGACTCTATAAGACATGTCTGTCATATGTGTATGCGCCTATCGTCAACGACATGCGCAGAGCACGCTCCCAGACCAAATACCTTGTAAGATCGGCGAGCGAGAAACCTCCTCGATATACCATCTGAGTCAGCTCTGCATATTCAGAAGGATTTTCGTATCGTAAAAACAGGGGTTCTAGATCCTCGGGCTACATCATGCCGCCATTCCCATTCAGACAAAATTATCAAAGACGTTTCGGCCGACCATCTCCTGCGAGGACAACGAAACCCTACCACGGAGCTGAAAGGCACGTATAAGGTCCAAAGGATGCCCTTCGCTACGCCGTTACTGCGTCGGAGCATACCAATCTAGGACCTAACACTCGTCAAACGCATACTCAGCACACCTTTAACGAATAGGTCAGTAGAGCAGGTTTTTACACCCGCAGTTTATACAAGGGCCCAGGTCTCTTTCGCTCCGATCACATGATCTACATAGCTAACATGGGGAACAGCCAAGAAGCTCACTCCATCACCAATTCCGTCCAAACATGTCTTCAACAAACGGCCCTCCTATCACCACTCCTGGCAGACTCATCACTAGGGAAGAGGCGCATGCAATGATCGATGAAGCTCTCCCCGACAGATGATTCTGGTGCCGCGAATTGGATGAAACATGGGTCCATTTGCCTTTTGAAATGATCCCCCTCGCCCTGAGACCTGGTCGATGGAAGTACGGTCCAAACGGCTATCCTTACTGGAAGTGCCACGAGAATTCTGTGACAGTGACGGAGACTGGAAGAAAAACTAACACTTGATGGACCAAGGGCAAAGATAAGCTTCTTTACTATGGCGAAGACAGAGACTTGATGACATCAGGCAGTGCGGAAAAAGTTCCAAAGACATGAAGTAAACGCGGGAAGACGATGAGGGAATAGTGTTTGCCAGTGATTTACTAGCTTGGATTATTTCAATCCTGTTTCCAGTCGACACTCTCATCGTGCCTCTGTTTTTGTCTCTCGCCGTTTCGCTTTTCCCTCGCAACTCGACAAACACCAACAATCCGGTCCCAACGTAGCCACACTAGATGTACCACATCAAGTCCTGCAGCTCCAGGTGGACGCCTCCTGTCCACTGCCAAGCCTGTCCACTGAAGCTAGCAGTACCGCTCTCAGACCTACCTCCATTGCTGGAGATCAGACTGGCTTGTATGTAGCAACGGGCGCGTTTGCAGACAATGTTTGGAAGACATTGGTTAATGCCTCCGCCCTTGGTATTGAGCTTTGGGGCGATGTTCGCTGCGTACCAGGACTTTCCGATGCGCTGCAGTGTTGGGGCCTCAAGACAAATGGTTTGTATGCCACATTTCACATCTGCGAGGTATTTGATGCACGCGAAGAGTGTCTGTCGGTTGTCCGGAAGGACGAGGAGAAGAGTCTTGAGCTGCTTTTCTCGACATTGACTGAAGAATCTGTCCAGATCAACGAATTACTGTCCCGGACACGTGGAGTTCAAACAGAGGTGGAGGATCCGTTTGATGCGTGCAGATAGTAGACTTGGATGATATCTCAAGCTTTTCGACGAATCCCTTGACTTGGCTGCTGTTTGTATTTTGGTTCGTGAATTTAATCTCCGGTAGGTCCATCTCGTGATCTCGGCGCCCAATATGAGCTTACGATCTTCTTTCAGGTTCCATAAGCCGAAGTCAGGTCTGAATCTCAGTTTCACTTCACCTGAGGAGCTGACAAGACTCGGCCTTCCACTGTTAACATGTCGGGTGAGACTGATATCCCAACACCCGCTGCCATCTCGCTCATGACCTTCAACTCCATCATACCGATAATCTCGCGCTGCTCTATCCTTGGCTGGAGATCCTTGGCTTACGGAGTCGACGTGGCGACTTTCTGTTCGTCGTCCGCTTTCTGGCGCTCCTTCCATTCTGGCGTTATGACTCGGAGAGCTTAAGCTGGAGAGTCCTTTGTGACTTGTCTCGTTTCGCCTCTGGCGCTATCTTTGGTTGACTTCCCTCACGTACGTTGTGTTAGCGGCTACCCACGCCACATCAGGAAGGGTCGGCGTTGGCATCGTGGTAGCGCTGTTGCTTTCGATGGCTGTATTGATCCAATGGAACTTGCTTTGAGCAGTGAGGCTTGCGGGAGAATGTTGAGGTCCACAAGCCCTTATTAGTATTCGCTCATGGTCGCTTGATGGATGAAAGACGATTGCTCGGATAGAAGAATTTGTCGATTGCAAAGGCTTTAGCAGGATTGGCAGGATTGAACGTGATGGCTCAAGCACCTTTGCTGATTGCACAAAGCCTCGTGGAAACACATTTTGAGCTGTGCAATAGAAAGCTCGTACGTGGAAGTTTGGGCAATTTGGGTATGGTAGGGCATAATGACAGTGGCCTGACTTTTGGGATGTTTGGACACACCTTGTTGTAACATTTTTTGATCCCCTGATCTTCTCCGACAGCTTGAGTCATCGATTTGCTGACCGACTGAGGAGATTCAGTCTTTGAAGAACCAGCAAAAACGGGTTCTGACGGTCAGACAACTGGGATGAAGTTCACGTTACCTTTTCGTCCTCTGTTAGGGAACTATTCATTGAGGACCTGGCCAGTGATCTCCACACTGTCTGACTGTGGAGAGCCTGTGACCATTGCAACACCATTTGGTGTCGTATTATCATCGTAATCTCTCTAGACAGATTCTGTCCACGTGGTTTATGAGCGGTTCGAGGTAAAATCAGAGGTAAGTTAGATGCCCTCCCCTCCCCTCCCATTCCCTTTGCTGAAAGCTAAAGCTAGCTGTTGAGAGCATAATTACTGCTATAGCCGGCCCTATTTTCTATGGCCTTCTCTGTCTAATCTTGCCTATCATTTGGCATCCATGGCTTAGGGTCCACTCGGGTAGTGATTCCCCGTGTCTCTTTCTGAGATCCCTGGGAAAAATTGCCGCGACTGTGAAGAAAATCATATGGGTGGAAGAGTGAAAAAAGAGCACAAAGGATCGACTGCGAAGAACCCAGGAGTAGTACCCATTCTTAGGCAACTGAGCCGTTCAACACAGCATTGAAATTTAGAGATCCGGGAAATATCAACACAGTTCTCCTCTTGCATGCTTCTGACAACACCTTCAGGCAATCGACAGCCTATATAAACACGTGAAGCTCTTGAGTATCCAGTAATACTTCATATCAAGATCGATTCCTCGAAAAAGGTTTCCACTTTCCCAACGCCATTCAAAAACACCCAAACTTCAAGGCTAAAGGGCCTTCACCAGCTCAGACAGCATGTAGTTACCACGAGGCAACAGCTACGCAAACCATGAAAATCTTAGTCCCCAGGATGCCTCTTACGGGCCTGTTGTCCTTGACCAAGGCGCAATTCCACGCGCAATATTCTCCCTCACTCGGCTACAACAACCTCACAGTCGGAGCAATCATCTTTAAGCCTTTCACCGCGAATACTCACAGATTACTCCTCCTCAAACGCGCCGCACATGACCATGCGTTCCCAGGAATGTTTGCGATTCCCGGTGGCCATGTTGAAGATACCGACTTGAGCATTTTCCACGGCTTGAAGCGAGAAGTACTCGAGGAGACAACCATGCTAGTCCAGGGTATTATCGACCAGATCGACCCACTCGTCTGGGTCACAACGAGATCGGTGCAAAAGGGAGAAAGCAGCTCAGTGACGAAATCTAGAAGTCTGCAAATCACGTTCGTCTGCGAGGTTGAGGGGCTGGCGTTCCAAGTCGATCCGGAGGAACATTCGATGGGCATATGGGCTGATAGGGAGGAAGCGGAAAAAGTGGTCATGTCAACGGGGATGAGAAGAGTGGTGGAAAATGCTTTCAAGTGGAAGGAAGCTGCGTTGCAGAAGGGTCTGAAGCTCTGAGAGGCTGAGGGACGTTTATGAAGGGTTTCATGGCAAGTTCATGGGGGCTCTTTATGAGTATTCAACGTCTCTCGCATATGGGGTGATCCATTTTGCGGGTTTAGGGTTATGGTTGATTACGTACTATAAGGTGTACCTACAGAAACGTGCAATGAGCGAAGGAACGGATGGTTGAGTAAATCTTTATACCTCAGCCAGCGCTAAAGTTTGGTACTGGTGGCGACGTACTGTTGTAATCAAGACACCATCCCTGCTTTTTGACACACAACATCTCAACTTCTTGATTCGTAATCTTCAACAACCCCTGACTCCTTCTTGCAGATCAGTAGACTTCAGCCCTTCCCTTCTTCATTGCTTCCAGATATTAGCAAAACGTGGTTCAATACTCCATCATCGGGCTTTCGGAGGAGACAGCTCCTCTGCGTGCCGAAGTACCAACGATCGATTGAAAAGACCATCGCTCTTTCGCGGGTTCTTGATGCTGAATATGTTGTAAGCCATTCGTACGGCGAGGCGATTGGTCTGGCTTGGCTCTTTTCAAGTCCACGAGTCATTGAAATCGCGTAAACCAAAAAGGCACTGAACAAGCGTGCGCTTATGACATACAGACAGCCGCGCGAGAGCATTTGGGTCCCGACAATGGGAGCTGCATGAACTGAAACACGACTCACAGTGGATCCTAGCTACGGTGCACGGAAAGAATGCCATCTATCGTCCAAGCTAACCCTCCCCACCCTAACAGACGACTGAGCTACCATCTGCTACTACGGCCTCGAGTCTCCCCGTCTCACCCTCCAATCCTGCTCTCCCCTCATCAACCACTTCGTCAGCAATCCCGACTTTCATCTCCCCAAACTCTGGATCCCGGGATTCCGCGAGCCGGAATGGCAGATGCAGGGTTCAAATTGCGCATCGTGAGCGGGAAGTGGGAATCGAGGTTTTCGATGCGCGACGTCGTGGTCGAGATGGAGCGGGTGCTCGCGATGTGTCAGCCGCCGGCGTATAGGGGCATTGGGGGAAGTGCGCCGGTGATGGGGAAGGAGAAGTTTATGTATGCGGCGTTTCATGTGCAGATTATGGGGGTGAGGCAGTAGTGGGACGGATAAAGGAGGGTGTTGGGGCCTTGTTCTTTGGCCCTGGGGTATCTTTCCGAGGACGGGGATTTCGTAATCAGATCAAACAGACTCAGAAAGACCCGGTCGCTATCTACCTTCCGAGATTATACGGGAACTAGAACCGGGTATCGAACTTGGGAAATCTACAGCTGCTGGTGTCTAAGTACAAGTAAAACCACAATTGCCAGACCGGCTTCCTCCACTATAAGCCCCAAAGTTACAATGATGCTGCTGATCACCCGTCTGCCAATTTCCTTGACCGGGGTACTCAAACCACAGCGGATCGCTATCGACCGCCCCGACCTGGATGTTCAGCGTACTTGGTAGCTTACTGTAAAATGGAGTCCAAGCACCCTGAGGTGACTCAACGACGGTGTCGTTCGAGGCGCTGATTTCAACCTGGTTGGAGTCGAAGATCGTGACAGTGAGTCTGTAGTGGCTCGTGTCCGTTCCGGGACCTTGGTTGAGTTGGTATTGGATCACGTGCACGCCGCACCAGCCGGGTGCGTAGCCGCCGGCGACGTTTTGGGCTAGTGGGAGATTTTGGTTAGCTTTGGCAGTGCTGATGACGGCAGGCTGTGAACTGGGCATAGAAATTAGGCATATGAGGCCGACGAAACGTACCGGAAGTTGGGCCATAAGGATCGCTCGGACAGATTTGTACACAGACTGTCGTCTCATATGCCTGCGTGCACGGGGGAGGGGCCGTGAGGGCAGCTTGCACGATTTCGTTCGCATTGTCCCAGAATTTGGCGCTGGAGCCGGGCTTTCCGCCCAGCCCTTGACCGCAGGCGTTACAGGAGACTGTGATCGTTAGTGCCGCTTCACCTTGTACATTTAGGGCAACTAAGTACTCACAGCCAGGGCCACCCGATGAAGCAGCGGGTGGGAAGAATCGAAGGTCGTACGTTGCGCAGACAGGAATGTTGAAGAAGCCGGCCGTCTCTGGTGCGATGTCGAGAGCCTGCAGTGCCTTGACTAAATCCGATGTGAGGGGCTGGCCCGAGCTGAATGCATCTTGGTATTGGCTTGCGGCATCGTAGTTGAAGTCACCTACTTGCCATGAGGCGACTGAACCCTTGATCGCACTTGTGATATTGAAGGGTTCACTGGGAAGGACGGAAAAGGGTTCGCTCCATCCTTGCGGGGTGGTTGGCATGAGATTCTGGTCGCTGGAAGAAAGGAGAGGCTATCAGCAACAAATACTTCCAGGGTGTTTGGGAAAGACATTCGTACGGTTTGATTACGCCCGCATTAAATATCCTGGCCATTCCACCAGGAGCATCGCAGATGGTGAGTGTTCCAAGATTATCAGTATCCTTCAAGCTATTCTGGCAGTAGTCCTGATCGATTCCCTGCTGCTGAACGTTGCCATTTGTGTCTTTAATAGCTACTCCATATGGCACATACATGATAAACACGCCGGAGTCGATCCATGCGAAACTTCAATTAAAGTTAGCTAGACCGACGCACTTTCTATGTAGGGAGGTGCTTACTTGATGGCTTTGTATGTAAAGATCTTAACAAAGTTATCGAGTATACCAGTCTCGAGGCCTTGAGTGTAGTCCGATTGCACCCAGAAACCGCCTGTGAACAGTTCGGTCCACTCCGCAATAGATGAGTTTGAACCGATGGTGCTGTTGAAGGCAGCTTCTACTCCGGTAGATGTACCTTTCAGATAATTTCCGATGAAATCGGTGATAGTGGAGTACCTTTATTCAGTGAACCAAAAGGTTAGCATGGCTCTAGTTATTGTGAAACGCAACTCGTACTCGCTGAATCTCTGGTCGACGACTGGTCCGATGCTATTCGCGGTGGCAAAAGCCGCGATGAAGCTGAAGATTGCACTTAGAGCTCCGAGGACTGGGCTGATGGCGGCGCTCTATAGAGAGTCAGATCTGAGAACCAAAGGAGTCCAGTCATCCCCTTCAAAGGTAGAAAGCCGAAGAAGAGAAGTGCGAAAGGCTTACCAATGGTCCAAGGATAGCGGAACCGAGCCCCAGAAGTCTGTAAGGTATCAGAATGTAAGTTGAAGCAAAGGCTAAAAGCACTCACGGAGTGACAGTGCCCATGATTTGTTTCCAAGTAGCACTGGGCGATGGATTCGTGAAGAACACCTTCAAACGAGTAAGTTTTTAATTGTGCGAACCGGAGCGATGAGACTTACTGTGACGATGTTACCGCTCACCAATCCACCTATTGTGCCCGAATCTAACAGGCTAAAGTAGATATTATAGAGGTAGTTGTTGAGGTTGACCATGGCGGTGTAGGCAAGGAAACGTTGTACCGTGAGGTCGCTCCCATTGTCCCAGTCTTTCACCTCAGTGCAACCAATAGCGTCACATTCTGAATGGGGTTTTAGCTTGAATCAAAAGCTGGCCGCGTTCCTGATCCGATGCTTACTTGAAGTGTAAGTACAGACAGCGCCGGGCGGGTTGACATCGTCATGCATGAGCATAACGCCGTCGACAGCACCGTCGACGGTCGCACTAGGTGGAGCAGCAGACAGCAGGCTTGTCATGTATTCCATGACCTACCCAAAGACATGTAAGCAAGTAGTATTCACGCAGCAGATCATGAAAACATGCCGTAAAGGACTGCCATGACTCCGTAATAGTCGAAATATCGTTATTCAAGCACGACGAGGCGATTGCTGAATCGGATGCTCCTGACGGAGTGGCAACTGCACTGGTTCCGGCAATAACGTCTGCAATTTGAAATTGGAGCTTGTTGACTGCTGCATGAGTACCATTGGACGCGACGCCGACTGTCGTCGGCAGCGGCGCTAACATGGATGTTGTAGAGGATAGTGACGATGAGCTGCCTGTTGTGATTGGTGCTGAGGCAATAGCCTGTCGGGCCACGACCGGTGCTCGACCCCCAGGGATGATGGATGCTTGGATGCAGGTAAACATAGCAAAGAGATGCCACAGTATAACCAAAGAGATGTCAGGCATCTTTGAAAGATGGAGTCAAGACACTTGTTGAGGTTGGTAGAGCTGTCTATCGAATGGAAAGAGAGAGCGTGTTCACGATATATATCAGTCAATGAGAGAGCACAACAGTCATGTGTGCTGTCCAAAAGGACTATTGCTTCTGACAAGGGCAACCTTCGTACAGACAATTCATGCGCGAGAATCAAAAAAACACGATCAGTAGTCAGGCACATGAAACGAGGCACCGACCCCACACCTGAAAATGAACAGGTCCCCCACATTCTTAGAGGGTAAGCAGTGGTACGGAGTTACAACAAGGATCTGCCAAGCGCCGCCCTATGAGGTCGAAGATGCACGTGCCCGGCCACAAATGTAATGTGAAAGCACAAGCGCACCTTTGCGCTAGAACTGAGGGGCCCAGATGAAGTGGCAGATAGCCTGACAAGCCCGAGGTAAGTGCCACAAAAGAGCATGTCCCGCATCATCCCCAGCAGAATGAGTGGATCCTCGGTGTGCTACAAACATTTTCATTAGACTTGGGCTTGGGTAAGATGTTTTCGATGACATGCTGTTTGCTCCAAAGCTGTCCTTTTCAAATGCAAAGCGACGTATCGGGTACGTTTCAGGATATTCAGGCAATGATTGGTCTCGAGACGGTTACAATAGGTACCCTTATTTTTTTTCGACAGAGAAAAAGGCTCTGGACCATAAGCGCAATCCAGCAGGGTCGAAGAACGGCCGCAGACATTAACAAATTGCTGTTTCAATGGGACTTGTTCCCAATCTCGGGAAAGGACGCAGGGGCCGTCCAAAAACCACGGCGCCAAAACTTCGATGCACAGCCCCGGCCTGTTAATAGGTACATGGAAGGGACGCAGCATTATCGGAGCACAGGTTCTACGGGTTAGTCGCTGCCTGGTATTACCGAGAAGCGAGGATCCCGAGGGCCAGGAGACTCGACGGAGTGGCCGAAGAGGATGTATCTGACCAATTCAATGCTCAAATGTAGCGGAAACATCTCGCCGGCATCATTTGGCCCCAAGAATTTGGCTGATCAGTAAGGTTAGGGTTGCATTAGGATCCACTGTATAGGCCGCGGCCACTACGGACGTGCCGCAAACGGATGACGAAGGACGGACGATGTGTGAATAGACTACTACACCGACGCGCAGATAAGCTATCGCAATGATTCGTTAGTCTTCTAGTAGTGTTCTAGCTTTCATCTTATACTTGACGCCAGTGTTTTGTGTGCATCAGATTGGTGCTAGCATCATCAACCGTCTCGGAGGTGCCTCAGTTGAGTGTCGCAAACAATGGTCTGATCCAAGGCCAAAGCAAAGACAGTACCTTCCAAATAACGAAGTACAAGACGGGTGTTGCAAATGTAAAGAGAGTCCAAAATGCAAGTCGAGCATTATTTGCTGTGCTTCTAGGATCCAACCATTACCACCGGATTGATCATATTGAGGAGATTTACTCAGCGAGAGTCGGCAGTCTTGATATTGGACTCGTATCTCGTATCTCCATCAATAATCATCTGTACCATCCACTAATCATAGGCTCGCTTATGCGGCGGGAAGTAGCATTCGACGTGCTTGCTGCAGTGTTGCGGTGGTGTTTTATCCAACACCGAGGAGGAGGTCAGTATGTAAGCCCGACCGCCGACGATCAGACTAATGCTCAGCTGGGAATAGCGTTCCTTCTAGAGTCTAAATAAAGCAAGACTGCTAGCCGTTTTGGTATTGAGCACCGGAAAAACGCATCATCATTATCCACGAACATGACACCATGTGAAAAGCTGCCTTCAACAACACACCGTGTCTTATATGTCTTCTACAGACACCAGTATTAGTTTTTTCGCATACTACTATTCTTTACTCGTAAGCAAGAAGTGGTCGTCTTGGCACTTATGTTGTGACGAAATCTAGGACTTGGTACCTCAGAGACACAGTCTGCTCATAGATCGTCACGCCGCGGTACTCTTCCTGCTGACACCTCCTCAAACTTTTACAGTAACATAATGTTGGAATTCTACGATTGACATCATGTCCAATCGAGCGTGGAACTCTCCAGGAAGGTGCGCAAGGAAACCCCTCAAAAGCCATTGCAGCTGGAAGCTAAAAAGACATACCTGAGAACAGACGCAAAGACCGTCCTAGCCTTCTTCTCGTATGCGACTTCGAGGTTTGACAGTCCGCCGTCTAGCAGCCAGAGCCTTGTCGTATATGGCGACTCTAGTTTAGTTTGCGGATTGAAATTTGAAGACGCCGAGCTTGAGCTTGAAGAGATTCCGGATCCAAAGGGGGGAAAAGCGGTGCTTGTGGCATATTTGAAAGGCTCTCTTGCAGAAAACAGATTGACTAAGAACAACCTTCAGAACATCATTGATAGCTATCCGCCGCTTTACCGTGACACCTTTCAAGTGAGTTCCGCGCCACCTATGCCATATCCCATCAAGGACCTTCGAGATGCCCGAGTTCGCGGTGCTTGGAGAATCGCTGTTGGTATTGCTGGAAGTATCCACATGGCCATGCCCGTATTCTTCGATCCTTCACCATCCGAGTCCCATGATAAGGCCGACCTGTGTGCCGGTTTTGGGAAGCCGAACAACCCTATCACACGTGTTATCCAGACTTTGAAGCCCATCAAGACGGCGTTTGCCTCGGCCTCTACGAATGATAAGAAGAACACTCAAGTGGTCATTGGCGCTATTACAATTATGCATGGCACAAGAACGGAAAGCAATATTTACAGCTTCATTGTCGGCACAGATCTTCACAATGTTGTCCCAATCACACTCTCCAGCCACCAATGTGACTTTGTACTCGAGCTCTTCAAGACCATTGTGACAGATAAATCTATACTGTCGATAGCAGACAAGATACAGTTGGACCCCATATTACTTCAGGTGTTGTACGTCGCTCTCTGGGGGACCATTCGGGTCGTGAGGTTCTACAAGAACAACTATAACCGGGTCAGGATCCCGGATTTGCTGATAAATTATGACGCGGTTTATTTGAGGGACTGTGATGACGAGTAATGCACAACGCTTATCGCGCTATTCGATGGTATTAAGGCGCAAAAGAAAAGGGCCATTCGATGTAGAGAAATTTTGACCTGCTCTGCACTTTTCTATCGTTGGACCACCTAGTCAAGCTCGCAGAGCTGTGTGCAGACGGAATACTATGTCAAGGGCAGCTCAACGAGCGTTCTCCTGTTCAAAAAGCTTCGATTGATGTCTTTCAGCTTGTCTTGATACTGACAGTCACTACTTCCAGGACTTGCTTTATGTCTACCCTGATCCTTGCTGAATACATTTGTTTCTTTACCTTCTCTACGTCACTGGTACGTAAGGGCGTGAGGTGCCTTGAGCGTACAACTGGTGTAGTTCTAGGTCAAGCGTTCGCAGGTCTACAGTCTTAAAAGGCGCACAGCAAGTTCGTGATGGTATGGCACATAGTCTAGGGTGTCTAATTGGAACCCTTCCTCTCCTTCCAAAGAGTTTTGGCTTCGAAGGATTCTGTGTAGAGTCTAAAACCTAATATTTTCGCTTCTACCACAGCTAAAGAAGATCTAGGTGAAACCTCAATCAATGCCCCTGGAATTGCTGCGTGACATTTCCTCCCATCTACAACAGTACGTAAAACGTCAAGGTCATTAAAATCATTACGTGCCATAAGACCACAAACTCAGTCAGCTGCACCTCCATTCCGCAAAGCTAGCGAAGAACGGATCATTCATCAATCGTGCCATGTCATCACTCTTCAACCCAATCATGACCTCCACTCCATTCGGCTCAGTGCTCCTATTTCCCGGCTCTGACGCGGGAAGAATGACACAGACGCCAGGGAATGGTATCTTCGAAACTCTCACACGCTCGCTTGGTCCACCAATAACGTGGCCCCAGTCCATGTGAAGGTTGCCCCACGATGAGATCGTCAAGGCGCTTTCGCCAAATGTTCCTCCGCTCATAATTACTTTGCTGACATCTGGAACGGAGCCGATGGCTGAAATGGCACGCTTGATGTATTTCTCATCAATTCGTGATATGGATTGTCGGATGGTGCGCGCTATCTCGGGCAGCTGGGGTGGGGACGAGAGCAAGTTTCGCAACGGCGTTGTTGCGTTGTTGAAGAGAATCATATTGCCCATATAAGAGTTCGTATCCTCGCGCATAATACGACGTCCATCTAACGGGATGTTGAGTACTCTGGTATCCTCCGTTGCAGCGTCCCCAGGTTCTAGGTTTCGAGCAACTGTAATGGAGCGCCAGAGAAGCGCTGACAGTGCATCAATGGTGGATATCCAGTCTGAGCCTTCCAGCTCAGCTGATGCAAGATCTTTCAGCTCTTTTAATCTCTGTGCAGAAAGATAGAAAACATGGGAATCCACTTGAGGAGGCACGGGCGCAATCTCAGGGCCTTCCCCTTTTGCCACTCCTGGTTGATAGCCAGCAATGTTGTCTGGAATAGTCGCGTATTCGGGAAATTCGTCCAAGCTGGCGCCCGTCTCTGAAGACATCAGTCTTTCGCGCCGCGTGGATTCTGTGAGAGTCGGCGCAGCGCTCTCGCCTCTGCAACCTGTGGCCCATGTCTGAAGAATCGTCTTCAAGGATGCGCCATCCCCAAAGGAATGGTGTAACGATATACCTAAGACGAGCCCACCCCGGATAAAGTTGGCTTGCGCAAGAAATACGGGTTTCTCGGCTTTCATCAAGTCTGGGAGTGAGTATACCACATTGGAGTCCACGGCCTCCATGGGAAAGTGGCGCCGCTTCAGGTCATCATAATCCATCTCGGGGTGAGATTCAGTGAGATCTTGTGCCGTGAAGATGTCTTCAACAGCGCCGAAGGGAGTCGTAACACACATACTGCCTTCTTGGATCGGATTCGAAGCGGCTTTGACATGTCCTGCTACTGTTGGAATGGCTTTGATGGTTTGGGCGAGCCCGGATTTGAGGATGTTGAGGATCTTCTCTTTACTCGAGCTAGATGCAGGGATGAACAGCGCTTTGGGAGTGATGTGGTGGCGTGGCATGACGTTGTCAAGAGGCCCCATGAGGAGAGGTTTGGCATTGTCGTCAGCAGACAGGGTATGGCTGGAAGAGCCGCGTCCACTGATGGCAAATAATGGGAAAGCCTGAATGCTATGTCGTTTTGCGGTAGATATGGAGGGTAAATGTTTCGAGTAGATAAACCATTGAGATTGGACAACGCACCGGACCATGTTCTCCGCGATATCTGTCCCGAATGCCTTCCTTAAGCACGCTTACGTTGGCTGACAGGTATCGCTGTCTGCACCGGTCTGCGAAGAAAGGCTTCGAAAGAAAGACAGCGTCAACACATGCCACATGGTCCATCCTATTATAAGCCATGGTGTTCAGCTCGCACGCAGTAGGAATATGTTGTTGTTGACTGTGCTCGGGATGGCTCGCTCCAACGTGCCACGAGCGTGCATTCAAGACTCGCGTCCCACGCTGGTTCGGTAGCCCGCATCACTCCCACCAATTGTAGGCTTGTATTTGCGCCTCATAGGGGATCGTTCCGGGGACAGCGGCACGCTACTCACCCCATCTCAACATACTTTCTAGCCCAAGGCAAGCTAGGGTAGGCTACCAGCCGCTCCCCTCGCGAGCCTGCATTCCCAATTCTTCGCCGACCACATCCTCTCGGCGAAGTCACGACCACAAGGTCGTGTCAAGAGTTAACGGAAGCTGGTTGAGCCTGAATTGTTATGTCTGCGCAGATGGTGTATGATACTATTGCTAGGAATGACGCGCCAGAGAGTGGAGCAGGCTTTCACTGCCTGAGAATTGAGAAGAAATCATCTCTAATTAGCTATATAATCTATAATCGATATTAAGAAAAGATATTATCTCTTATAAGACCTTTATAGACTATTTATCTAATATTTTATATCTTTAAATTATCGAATAAACTAATTTCTATTAAATTTTCTATTAAATTTATCTATTAAATTTCTATTAAATATCGATTAAATTAAATATAAGAGTTATATATATAAGAGGCGCTTAATTAATTATAAAATTAATTAATTCTATTATCTATTAATATTAAATAATAAAATTTAAATCTATTTAAATATAACTTAGATTAATAATATCTCTTTTAAGCTAATCTTATTTAAGCTTAATCTCGTATAAGAGAAAGAGAGATTAATAATTAAAACTTATTTAAGAATAAAAATAAATATCGTATAGATATATTATAAAAGACTATACGTAAGTTATTATTACGAATTATACTTAGTAGATAGAAGTTAATAGTTAATAGCTTAATATAACTTAATATATATATTTAAATAATTAGATTTCATAGAAGAAGAATTATCTTATTATTACTTAAGAAATCTCTTTCTTAAAAATAAGATTTCTAAGAATTTTATATTATTATAATAGTAATAGTAATACTTATATAATAGTAATAGTAATATTTATATAATAGTAGTAGTCATTATATAATAGTTTATTATTAAAAATTAATAGAGTTCTTTATTAATATTAATAGAAGTTAAGAATTCTTATACTTCTTAAAATAGAGAATTTTTATACTTCTTTAGATATAAGAACGAAGAATCTTTATACTTTCTTATCTTTCGCTATAACTATATATTCGTTAAGCTAACTTTTTATAATATAACTACTTAAATCTAATAGCTATAAAATTTTTTTTATCTTTAATTATTAAATATATTCTCTTATTAATAGAACTATATAAAAGATTATTTAATATCTTATTAAGAATATTACTTTAGATCTACTAGACTAGTATTATTATTATCTTAAAATTAATAAGTATAGTCTTACTCTTTATTACTTAATTCTCTTTTTTAATAAACTTAATTAGAAGATTAAACTATTAATCGTACTACTTTAAAAATAATACTTTATTTCTTTTAAGAATTTATAATTTAAAAATATTACTTTTTCGATTTTTTATTTATTAATAATACTTTAAAAGTAAAAAGATATACTTCGCTAGAGTAAGTAAATATCTTATTTATTAAATCTCTAAATAGTAATTCTTAACTTACTACTAATTTTAACGATTTATAATATCGTTTATTAGAAATCTTAAATATCTTTATTAATAAGATTATTTATTATTATAATAATAATAGTAGAATAATAAATAAAGAATTTAAAGTAAACTCTTAAGTTATTAATATAAAGATAATTATTACTAATACTATTAATCGCTATATAAGAAATTATTTAAATCTAGAATCTTTTAGCTCGTTAGATTTATTTGAAAATCTAGAAAATCTAGAAATATTAAAATAGAATATTATTAACGAAAATAATAAAAAGAACGAATCTCGCTTTTTTAATAGCGATATTAGATTCTTCGATTTTTTTTATAATAGTAAATCTTCTAATATAATTTAAATTCTCGAGTTTCTTTAATAGAGAAAACGATATCTTTATCTATATTATAGATTTCGCTATAAATTTTCATATAAGTAAGAAATTCTATAAAAGTATTTATTTTTCTCTCTAGAAATATAAAGCTAAATACTATAGTAGAGAATATTATAAATAAATATTATTAAATTTCCTATGAATTAGTAGACTTAATAATTTATAAATAATATATTTTAAATTAATTAAAGATAGCTATTATTATCGTAGTTATAAATAACTCTATTAATATAAATTATATCATTATAATAGATTCTATTTTTAAATATATTTTTTAAATAGCGTAATTATCTATAGTAAGAATAAGGCTTATTATACTTTTAACTTTATTATAATAAAATGTAATAAAATTTTTACGAATTAAGAAAATATTATAGATATTTTTAAAGAATAGTAGATATTAATATTATTACAGCTAGACGTTAAAGTAAAGTTATTAAAAGTTTATATTCTTAACTATAGAAATTAAGAAGTAATTAATATTATTTTTAATAAACTATAATAGTATAAAAAGCTTCGCTTTTTATATAATTAGCTTTTTATAGCTAATCTTACTTCGTAATCTAGCGAGATATATTAAAAGATCGTAAAAAAAGGATTATTATTAATCTTCGAGAATTTAATACTATAATAGAGAATAATAATTATTTATTACTCTTATAATTAGATATTATTATTTTAATAATAAAATATATTTCTATTTCTACTATAGATAAAGTTATATATTTTTATTAGTTTAATATAAAGCTTCTTAATAAATATAATTTTATTATTATTAGTTTACTAGTCGAAAAGATATAGTATAATATAAGATATTAATCTACTATATTATACTTTAATATAATATAAATTATTAAGATTTATATTATTCTATATCTAATATAATATAAGATTTTAACGAAATATTTTATAATATAATATATTTATAATATTATATTATAAAATAATATATATATAAAATATTTTAATTAAGATTTTTATATTTAGAAGTAGTTATTCTAATTATTATTCTAATTAATAATTACGCTAAATTAATAAGATATAAAATTAAATATAATTATATTTTATTACTCTATATATATAAAAGAAAGCGAGCTATATCTACTAATAATAAGAAAAGTTTATCTTTCTTTAATATTAGTTACGCGAAATTTATTAATACTTTATAATTAAAGCCGTCGATAATAATTTTATATATCTATTATATATTTTCGATATCGCTATCTAATATAAAATTATACGTATTATAATTATAATCTTTTTATTAAATCGTCGATTTAGAAAAGTTAATATATTTCTTAATATTCTCTTAAAAGTATTATAGCTTAATATAATATACTATATTTTTTTAAGCTATCTTCTTATAATATATAAAAAAAAAATTAAATATAGAAAGTATATAAAAGTATATTTAATAATTCTAGAACGAATTAATAATATCTATAATAATAATTAAAATTAAGAATTAGATATACTTAAATAAGAGATAACTTTACGCTATTTATATAATAGCGATAATAGTTATTTAAGATTAAAATATCGATTTAAATAGCGTAACTTTTATAATAAACTTTTTATTATTATACGCTAGATTAATTATATATAAATAAAGATTTATAATTTTATCTTTTAGATGTAATTACGCTTAATATTTTAAGATTTTTATAATAATTTAATATTTATTAGTTAACGCGTTAATATTATTATATCTAAACTATAATAGCGCTTATTATTAAATTCTATATTATACTTTTAAATAGTTTAAAAAATAGAATTTATTTAATTATTAGCGCGTATAATAAAATTATTCTTAATACTTATACTTTATTTAATTTTAATATTATCTATTTCCTCTTAATTCGAGCTTTCATCTTTATCTATATATATAATAATTTACGCGATAAATAAAACTTTAGACTTCTTTATAATTATATTTATATATTTTTTTTATATAATATTATTAAAACGTAAGTCTATTAAAATAATAATTAAAACTAAAAATTATTTATTACTTATTTATTATATTTTATCTAATTTATTTAAAAGCTTATTTTTATTATAATAATAATATATTAATATATTTAACTTTACGCTTTTTAATAATTATAATATAATTAATAGTTAAGATATTAGCTTTCTTTACTTTTTTAATTAATTTCTCTTTAAATATAAATATATTTATTCGCTATCGCGATTTCTTAATATTTTTATTTTAATTAAGCTTATTCTTCGCTTTTTATTTTAATTAAAGATTTAATCGTTATTTAATTAATCTATATCGAGACTCTTTAATATCGCTATTATTATTAATATTTAATATTTATTATAATAAATTATTAGACTTAATCTTTTTTACTTTAATTATTATAAAAAGATAAATTAATAGATATATATAAAAGAATTAAAGGGCTTATACGAATATCTACGAATATTAAGCTATTTTTAATTTTAATTAAAACTCGTTTTATTAAAAAGTACGTTAATTTTAGTAAGTATCGATATTAGAAATAAGGAGAATATATATTATATACTATTATAAGTGTATTATTATAAAATTTAATTTAAAAAATAATTATTTTTATAAAGATAATAAGACTTAAAGAAAAGAAAGTAAGAATAAAATATACGAAAATTTTAATAAGTTATAATAGTTTAATATTAGTTAAATTAAATAAAGATAATTACTTACTAGCTCGCTCTCTTAGATCTTTTATCTTTTAATTTATATAAATTATAATAATAATTATAATTATTATAGAAGTAGTTAAAATTATATTAAATAATA